GTCGTCGTCTTTCGTTGCCAATTTAATGCGAACGATCCTAAACCTTAGAGTCGCCTAAGTACGCCTTCAGGCAGGTGTAAACACGATACAAACATCAGAATAACTATGGAAATCTTCATCCATGATCAATAATTCCCGAATCCAGATATAAATAGAATAAAATTCGATGCAATTATTTTTGTTGTATTATCTATTCCGTCGTGTTTCGCCATGTCATAGTCGGAGGACCTATTCTGCTCAAACTACTTGATATTACTCTACCTATTGCCGCTGAGTGTTAAGAAGATCGCTACTGGGTTCCAAAGTAAATGCACAGGACGCTGCAATCCTTTCCTAACATTTGGATATGTCTTGTGTTTCGACAGCGTTAGCACAGGCAGAATACACAGACAACTGAATATTCATCTGAGTACCATCCACTGAGAGCTGAGGACGAATCGACGTAAAGCTGGATCGTTTGAGACCGTGAAAAATCATAAATATGGAATAAGTAATAGTTTCGCGTGCCCGCAGTTCCTTATTTTTACGTTTGGGCCGAAGCGTTGGTGTTTGGCTTTTGTTTTTCTTCGTTAATGCGCCACACGAATTGCCCGGTTTTAATGTCTAACTGTCATCACGGTCATCGTGCCAGCTTTAATGAGCCGTAAAATTTCCACCGATATACTTGGCTCTATTTGACTTGATTTTTCGTATAAATTACTTCTGTTACGTCGTTCGTGAAGCATTGTTTTTATTATGGTTCGAATTTGAAATTTGTCTTATCTGTAATTCATAAATAGATAAAAAAAAAAAAATACAATTTCTTTTTTTATTCTCAGTAACACCTACGACGGACTGCTCTTATTAACTTTAGCTGGATCGTACACACCGAAGTGACTTTATGTGTATTCGACAATGCGTACTAACATGGACACCTTTGATTGCTTGTATAATAATGATAATAATAGTAGGGGCGCATGGTAGGTGTCAGTGAATCAAGATGTGTCTGGCCACCGTGTTTGCTGGTGTCTGCAAACATCGCTGGTGGAGAAAGCATCGTTAGATCCACCGTCTGAGGTGCCTAAATCCTTTTCCCCTTTCAAGTCTATCTTCATCAAAGCCCTCCTCGCTATAGCCACTCCTCATCAGAGCCATTTAAGACAGGTTCCCTCGCCTGAGTGAACTCAGCGGCAGTTTAGCCCGTGCGATCCATCTCTTCGAGAATGAAGGCTTGTTTGGAATCAGGGTATCGATTTGGCTAATGAGCGGTGAAACCTGAAAGAAAATGAGGTATATGTATTTGGTACAGTTAAGCACTCTTGCAGAAGCTGCCAAGGAACACGAGCCTTTCTCCTCTTCTTTATCCTTGACTACGGCTCTTGTTGTCAACAATTAGAATTTGCTCGTACTCGTATTGTATCTGTCGTACTTGATAATAGCGCTTCTGTAGTTTGTACCTGACCGGTATATAATATGTGAACCAAAGCACGCTGTCTCTCTTGAATTCAAACTTTTTAGAGGCTATTCTAAATGCAACCATAGTAGAAATTGATGTAAATGTTTGCTGCCACTTCGACCGAAGGCGAAATGCGTAAGCCTCTCGGGCCAGTAAGTCTCAATAAAGTGCAAGCTTAACGGCAGAGACCTCAAGAAGACTATTACTCTTATAATATGCCACTTATCGGATATTCTTAAAGGGTACAATAGTTTGAGTAGAATATCGTCACGGTTTTTTCTCTTCGGAAGACGTTAACGCGAACCTCGCGAAATATGCGAAGAATTTCGATTAAGTCGAAATGGGGTTAGGAAGTAAATTTATGGGGTCTCCATAGTTTTTTTTTTCCTTTGCACGGGGGCATGAAGATTAAGAGAGGAGCAAGGCTTAAAGGTAGACCACACCCAGTGCTCAGAACTACATGTTGAAACTCGAGGAAATAATGCAACGCGATGATCTTGCAGATAAAGTTGTAGCCCTTCTAAAGCGCCTATCGGAAATACATACGTATGAGTGCTTCTAGGCATAGGGGTAAACTTATTCTGTAGAAATTTCATCTCCTTAGATCGACTACACAGCCGCATGAAATTAAAAATTATCTGATCGTTTTCTACGCCTAGATCGTTTCGAGGCGGCATCTTCTATCCTGTACTTTAATTAATTCAGCTAACGCAACGAATTGAATAGCCGAACCTTTTCCTATGAAATGTATTTCTACCAGAATTTGTTTCAAAATTCTTTGTACTTTGCGGCTCATTTCGCGCAAGGCCAGGCGCGTAAATCACTAGGAGAAAGCCTTTCCTTCTCAAAGAATAATACCTTCATCCAAGCTTCACCCGCCGCTATCAGCAGTGTCCATGCGCACTCGTGCTATTATTGTTATTATACCTTTTCTGTCAGACCATCTAGCGCTGTGCAACTGCTGACGCCTTAGTCGCCACTTCAGCTACGGGCTGCCATAACGAGTGCGTGCGGACGGGCGAGCGGGCAGGCAGGCAGGCAGGCAGAAAGAATCCCAGGAAAATTTTTATCTTAAGCTCTTCCCGAGTTTCGCTGTCCAGTCTCTGTCCGATTGTCGGTGTGGGCCTGTGCGGTAAGTCGTCGAAACCATGAAACTAGGTGAGTGGCATCCTCTTGCCTCTATAATATAATGCATATTGATGAGGGAAGAAACTTACCTTGCACGGCCTAGTCACCCGTCTGCGTTATTCTTTTCTTTGACTTGTGCGCGGCTGAAAAGCAGACTCTTTTCCTTATGCGCCCCACTTCGCCTCCTCCGCCTAAGTGGAGTGACCCGGTAGGGAGAAGTAAAACGAAGGGCCTTAGGGGCCGAGACAAGCTGTTGGTCCCGAAAATTTCTTGCTGTCCACTGTTGCCCCTAGCACAAAGGATAGCAGGGGGAAGTGGGAGAGATAGAAAAGAAAAGTTTACATAAACCAAGCAAACGATGGCGGTGGCGAGTCCGACGGCCTGCAAACGGATTCGGTCGTTGTTGGCCCATGGTAAAGGAGGGCCAGAGAGCGACACACTTGCTTTCCCACACTTGTTCTCATCGACTACCCCCCCCCCTCCCCTCCCCAAAAGGCGCGTTTGGGAGGATACATTTTGAAGGGCGATCGCCTGCTCCTTCTTGAAGAAAGGAGGTGAGAGCACCAAAAGAGGACCACGAAGAAAATACTTGCCATCGCTTAGGATGAAAGCCAGTCGGTACGGTTATTAAGATTAAAAGGAATCTGATTCCTTCTAAAAAACAGTATTTTCTTCGCTTTGTTGATCCCACAGCACACAAACAGATACACACATACACACATACACACACACACACACACACACGCACACACACACACACACACACGCACACAGAACAACGGACTTCCACATGCACGCGTAGGCACAAACGTCGTTAGACATATGCACTACCGAACCTTGAAACTTTCTGTCAATATACACGCACTTGTAAACGCAGATGAAATCAAGGTGGTCAGTGCCATGTGGTCGTAGACGAGAGTGTAAGCCAGAGCAAAAATGAGGTCGCTGGTTGTTGGCAGTGAGTTCGCGAAAGGGCCTACCTTTTATGACACCTTTTGGTGTTGCTCGACATGAGCGAGTAAATTATAGCGGAGCTTCGTCAACAGCTTACTGCTTGCTTGTGGGGTCTAACTTCGTCATACATGCTGAGTATGCTGATGGTGGAAACGGTGATGATCATTAAGCGCTGACGCCGCTAATCGTAAGTTCATCTTTCCGCCGCGCGAAATCTCGACGGCTGCTGAAATGAAAAAACCTCACCGTTTGAAAGCAATCTGATTACTGGAAATTTTTCGGTTCAAAGTCGGTAAAAGTTCTACGTTTTGATCTAAACTATAATAACTAAAATACAATTAAATCAAATGAAACAATTTTTGTTATTTACGTAAAGTTACTTATGTAAAGACTTTTCGTAACTGTGAGCGTAATAACAGATGATAACTACAAATGGAGCTGTAGTTTCGCTTACACTTGACAATCATTTCTAGTTCGAAATAGATTAGCCGTCTACGATTATCTATTGTTCCTTGCAAAAAACTTGGAAGTTTAAAAATATCAAAAGTTTCAACAGGAAAATACGTGCAACACGTATGTATAGTGATTGTGGCCGATATATGAAATATTATTATTATTATTATTACTAATCTACTTTTGAAATCGTACTCAGTCAAGCGAGCCAACCTCTTTAAACTGTTGGTATTATATATATATATATATATATATATATATATATATATAGTTTACGCTTTTTACACACATACACAGATGTACGTATATGCGTGAATGTTATAAATGATCACGAATAATAGACAGGTCCCATTCGTTAGAATAAGGCACAGCTTTCATCACTATAGGTTGTTTATATGATATTGACAAATAACTGGCATGTTTTTTTTTTTAAATAAAAGCAATGAAACAACTTGCTGAATAAACAAAACACTTTATCTGCATTGTGTGAGTCGGCGATTTGAATCGAAAAGTGAGAATTAAGTTAGAGGATTAGGTCGCAAAGGTTTGCGGATTGCCTAAAAGGACCTTAAACTTTTTCATATGCTACTGAAAAATATGGTCTTCTAGCTGATTTTCCTTTAGTCTTTCATTCATTTTTTTCTGTTCAATGTCACCGAACGCTCGCCCTGCTCTATATTCCAATCATAGCAAGAATGATATGCGAGTATATAATGAATGGGGATTCAGATGGGTTAGTTAGCTGAGGCTACTTGCAGTACCCCTAGCTTATAGTGCGTAGTAAGCAAATAGATAAAAATGATTATTGCACACTTGCTTGTTAGTGCTTGATAATATACGAGTTACGATGAGTTTTATGTTGTAAGGAAGGGTCAAGCATAAATCAAAGAGAAACTTTATGTAGATAAAATTCAAATCATCAACAATCACCTATTCAAATGGGCGTTACAATAAATAAGAATCAGAAGCAAAACAACTTTGTACAGTAGGGTATAGTAGACCATGTTTTATTAGCCAGCAGTATCCAGGTGCCAGTTAATTTAGAATACACAACCTCTTTCAACAAGCAAGACATATCACGAGAATAGAACATAGAGTTGTTGTAATTTGCCTTTATCGAGGCTGTTATATCAATTGATTGTTCCGTTGGTTCTTTCTATCGGTAGTGCTTATCCATAAAAATAACGAATTTTCAAAAAGTAGGCAAACGATTCTTGATTTAGCAAAACACGCCTATTTCGTGAGTCTGGCCCAAAAAAACAATTCAATGCGTACCCCACCTACCGAGAACGAAATATTCATACTGATACAGAATATGCAAGTTTTTTCTATATGCATATATATTACAGAATCCCATAAAATACGGCTGCCGGTATTTGGTGGATGTTAACTAATGCAGTGTTATGGCCTGAATACTGGATGATTTTCACGCGTCCTGCGATCACTTTAAGAAAAATTCTCACATGCTCGTAAGAAAGCACATGTTGTGGGGGCGAAGCTCAAAATTTAACTGTTCCAGCTCATCTGTCTCCACACGGGCGCACTGGTTTCTGCACTTCACGCTCTATTAGGAAACGGGCTCTCGGCTGTAATCTACGGTCACCTAAACCGTCTTCTATCGAAATAAGAGTATAATTCAACTACAGTAATGTTGCTAGCATCCTTTCTTAAGAGGTCAAACATCCTTCTTCCAATATCAACTCATCACCCAGTTCTGCTTGTTTGTATATGAACTGACTTAAAACAACTCACAAGCTTGAACACCGATCTGATAAAGAAAAAAAAAGTATTAGTAGTTACTTTATTACAATCCAAAGCACAGACGTAAAGATAAGAAAATCTTCTGTAACAACTCTGTCACCACCAAACCATAATAATTGACTTTTATTGACAGTTGAATGTTCTCTATATTTCCGCTAATGTATTACGATCCGTAACTGCCGTGCCTGGATCGCGACGTTTTTTTTATTAGGTTTTCGGTTCCGTAACACCATTGACGAACTTCAGTAAAAAAAGTACAATACATATGTACTAGTATTCTTTCGTTGAGTATTTAGTCACTGGTCTCTCAGTACGAGCTCATTATACACATACACATTTACGCAGCACAATGAAGTGTATTGTTAACTTAATATTGATATGTACATCCATCCAACGCCTATTCCTCGAAAAGTCCTTTATATATTTTCGTTATCCAGTTTCGTGGTAACGCTAAATCTGGAAGTTATCGCGACGTGTTCAGAAGATACTGAAAAAGAGTACATTATTAGGATGTGCCGATAATAAAAAAAAAACGTTTGTTACTTCTTCCACGAGGCGACGAAGAAATTAAAGCGAAAATGGCGCAGCTAGACTGCTCTTCTTATATAAGTAACCCTTAACAGTCTTACGGTGATGTACATGACATGCGTAGTTGGGACGAATCGACCTTTCGTTCTAATTGCTTAATTTTTTAAACAACTGTTTTCAAAAAACATTTTCTGTCGAAAATTAAGCATGTGTAATACTGTATTGCATGTCCTGCTTACCTTGGTAAAATTTTTGCACCTGCATCGAAGGGCAGGTGGTTGCTAATCCTTCAGTGGTTCCATCGTCTAGATATTTTTGGTTTCTGATATTACGATCGGGATAGAGATCAATATTTGTCCGGATAGCTCTTTGGTGCAGAGGCTGTGGAGGACGGAAGTTGTTCCCCAAAGGCGCCACTGGTAAAGTCAACTCACCTTGCTTCAGCTTACGCATTGCTAATAGCTAAAGGAAGGATTGGGCAAATAAGCACTTAATAGTTAACAGGGAGGTAATCATCTGATTAGCCATGTATGCCTAACTTATAAAGGGTAGCGATTTATTTTGAAATTGTAAAGGAATTGTGTGTCATTAAATCTATTTCAATGTCGGATTTTCAAGAAATGTTACGTACTCTAGTAATGAAAGGCACGCTCTACTACCGGATTGTGATGGAACGTCGGTAAATCGATTGCCAAAGTCCACATTTTGGGTAACAGAATCAATGTTTCCAGACTTTCCTTTGGCAGCACAAGACTGGTTTTTGATTCAGCTGAATAGCATTCTAAGTTAGCACACGCTCAGCAATAGATTTGTACCTGTTGTGACGAGACATAGAGCGGCCTATTGAGAAGTATCCAAGTGGCCGTCTCCTCACATCCTGGAGCTGTAAGCGAGCCTTCATACGTGATCAGTGCTGAAGTATTTGGAAGAAGCTCATGAACCGACAACGCCTTGAGGACGACGCTATCGCCTTTGTAGATTATGTGTTGCAATTGATCCGTTAACATTTTCAGTTCCAGATTTGGTTTAGACAGGTTCGATTCTTTCAGGAAGTGTTGTCCGGTCTTAGGCAAAGCCTCTTTAGCATTAGCAACTTTAACAAACATCGAGACGGCGGCAATGCCATAAGCTCGGCTTCGCGCCTCAGTGGCGTTTTCGTAAAGCTCACTATTATACGCGTAGATTTGAACCTGTAAATATCAATTATGGATCAAACCCATAGCGCTCCCAATGTTAACAAGGCACCGTCCTGTAATTGTAGTCTGTTATCATGCGAGAGAAAAATGCAGAAAAGTTGGTCCCGTTCAGCTCACCTCAGCTGGGAAAGAAAAACCAGCGAGAAGATGTTCTGATCCCTGATGATCCTGCCTGCCAAAATGCAACTGGATTTCGTAGACACGATACGCATATGATAACGGTCCTCCAGTGATATTCACTGTTGGAACCTTAGTCCTCGTAGTACTTGTCTGGCCATATTCTGCCACATGGCCGGCGGTATCGGGTTTTGAGGGGCTTGAAATGTCATTTATTGGGGTTTCAGTTGTTTCCAAACGAAACACAACTCCTTGTCCAGTGTTGTGAAGAATGCCATGAACACGAGCTTTTCCAACTTGCAGGTCCAACAGTTGGGGGTCAAACAGAAGCCTCTGCGGTTCTATATTGATGGGTGATTGGCGCCGCCCCGTGCTGCATAAACCCCAGAGGCCTGGATTGAGTCGGCCCCAAAAGTCTGGACCTTGAACAGAAAAAAATAATTTAGTTTATCATATCGCCTGTGTCAATAATCATATCTTTGTACGTACATGATTGTACGCTGTGCTCCTCCTTTTTCTTACCTGAAATCCCCTCGTACGTCCACCAGTCATTCCAGTTTGCCATCGTATCTGCAATATTCCAGGATGTATTATGGTTTCGGAAAACAAGTTATATCTATTCTTCTTCAATGTATATCCTCTACCAGATCAACTAACGTGTAAACTACATCAGCTACAATAGTACGAGTTCCAGACGTATGCTCCCAGCTAAGACGATAATAGATTTCACTCTTTTCCCTGATTTTGTTCCGATTTATAAGTTAGCACACGCAGAGCAGCTAATTCGTACCTTTTGTTACCACCAAAGCAGCTTCTGAGAGTGAGTACCGTGAATTTTTCGCAAATAATACTCGTGCGGTCGTATCGCTGAGCTAATTGCACCGACATAATCAGAAAGATAGTTACAGTTCCTGTCGTTCATATCGACGGCGCAAAAATATACAGAACGTCCATTGGTATCTCATCGTACGAAACGTACGCACCATTTGAAACAAATCAGGGCTGTTTAAGTCAAATTCACTGAACGGAAATAGTGGAAAGATTTCAGCCATTCCACCGACCAGTTATCAGGCCATCAGCTGAACCGTCGAGTGACAAGCGTATAGCTCAACGAATCTTCTGAAATCCTTTGGTCCGAAAACTATGTGCATAGTAATAGACTGGGTTATGCTTGAAAAAAATGCCAAGATCAGTGACAATACGACCTTTGAATAAGGTCTTTAGCATATCGAACGTTCTGCACTCCTTTGAAAATCAATATTTATACAAATTTTACTATGTAAACACTACGGTTAGGTCTTTCATTTCTACTCAGAACAGATACGAATGATAACAAGAGGAGTTGGCACAGCAAGAAGGACTACCCTATCCGTGCCTAAAGTAACTAATATATGATATGTTCTGCGAGTAGCTTTCATGCACAACCTACCATTAACATGAAGTACTAGTAAAATTATTTGTAACACGACAGGAGTAATCATTGCCTTCCTCATTGTTGCTACCAGCCGGAAAAATGAATTATCAAATATGTACTCTCCAGAACTGTCACTGAAGATCAACAAACAGTGTCAACTACTCGTACGGAGGTTAACGGTTAAGTATAGTAAAATCATCAAGGAAATTTAATTTGATAGATGGACATGCTAATTCACACATGATAATTGATAATCATCAGTACGAGTGCTTTATCTTGAGGCAGCTGGGAAGTCGTTACTGAGTTTTTCCTTTTTTCCCGTGTACGGTCGTTTCTAAGCTTTACATCCATAAAAAGCACTAGTTTCCGCACACTTCACCACTGTGACAGGTTAGTTATAATAACGATTAATAGAATCGGGCCAATAACATCGTTACGTTGTTGTTGTTATGGTTGTTGTTGTTGCCATTAGCGTAATATGGCCGCCTTTTCCTGTATCCGACATTTGTCTGCGTGCAGTGCTTTGGTGATGTTTCCCAGTGTCCCTGTTCTAGACCCGCCTCGGATGTGCCCTCACCCTCAGTAGCCCTCAGTCAAGAGGCGGGCCTGCCTGACCCTAGCTCCTTTTCCTAGCTGGAATCAGACGACGAACGAACTGCTGGACAAGTCTGAATCTAGACCTTGTCTAACTCACTGTACATCGCTTTGAGCGTTCGTTACATACAGAGCGCACCTATAAAAAGTAGCACGTATATTGAATTCGATTAATTGAGCTTCCGTCCTGCATCCTGCAAACATTTCATGCTAGACATATAATCGCTGGCCAGTCAGATTCGAATATCATGAGACTTGCAAGGCTCAGTTTAGGGCTAACTTTGACGTGAGCTAATAGTTATTCTAAGGTGAACACTCTTTAGGTCCTCGAACACCCCTTTGGAGTCACCCGACAAAGCCTTTGCCGGCAGCCTTGAAGATGTCACGGTATGGGAAACTCGAGAACGTGATTTGTGGATGGTCCAAGCACTGTTCGCTTCGTTGAGTTTCTTATGTGACCTCAGCGGTCCTCTGGAAAGTTACGCCTCGTTGACACTCAAACGAGAAGTGTCGTCGTATACATCCTGTACTTCCTGTATGGCCTGTAGGCTGCGTGCGCTCCTTGCGAGGTCGGAAAGACAGCTGCGCACAACTAGAAGCTAACTGACCAAGATTAGTTGGCTTCCCTCTTAAAACGATGCTAAATTACCTCTTGACAGACAAGCTGCTTCTCTCTACTGCACGACGAACATATCAATCATGGAAACATAGAGAGCACCTTATAAGGGTCTTGTTTCTATCTTTTTCATAAAACAAATGTAGTCAGCAATGCTTGTAAGTTTTTTTCCCTAAGTTGAGGAAGCCTTTTAAAAGAATGCTTTACCTGGCAGAACTGCACATACAACGTGCGCTTATAATTAAATCATAGTTAGTCGGTGGGGTTGAATTTGTCCGAATATGAGCTGAATACACTGAAAAAAGACAGCCCCCCCCCCTCTCTCTCTCTCTCTCTCTCTCTCTATATATATATATATATATATATATATATATGTTTTTGTTTCTAAAAAAAAAAGGACAGTTGTCGAGCAAACAAGTGATCGTCAATTGTAAAACCTGCAGTTCAAAAGTAGCTCCCGCGTTTTAAAAAAGGAGACCTCCTGATTTAGCACCAACATTAACGTGGGCGTTCTTACAGATTTGAAAATCAGCGCAGCAAAGTCAACAAAGAAGAGCTTCTTTTACTACAAAAAGAAAAATTTCTCAAAATAAAGTGGTTGCCTTAAGGATATGGTTTAGTTGGTTACAATAAAAAATCTATTGTTTGTTATCGAATTTTTGCTGTGTATTTTTGGGTAAACACGGATGGATCGATAGATCAAATAAAATTTAATATTCACACACAATTTTGCTACAACTAGGCCTTCCTCGACAGTTGCTGCTACTGCCTGAGTTCGGAGTATTCGGATTAACGGTTTGGGAAGATGTTTACATTGAGATTAATGCTATTTTACCGCAACTCTAACAAAATCTTATCAATTATAAGTGTCGTTTGAATTTTGTAGAGATAATACAGTGCCTGTCAGCAGTTCTGCTTGCTAGCTCCACAGTGCATAAGCAAGACAGAAATATAACACATAACTGATAAGAGGTTGTTACTTTGATATATGTTCAAAAAAAAAGACGGGAGCGGGGGGTCGTATAGATCTATATCAAGTAGAGGATAACTCCAGTGTGATGTTGCTGAAGGAAGGCGAGAACGGAAGCCTATACGATGCCCTAACGAAGGCTGTAACGTTAAATTAGCAATGAGAATGGATAATAAAAAGAATCTCTTTTTGGATCGTCCACCATTAGTGCTTTCGTAAATTACCCGAAGTGGCTAGACGACGTTCTCCTGCCGCCAGGGATAAGCAGGGCGAGCTTGTAACATGCTGGAAGCAATATATTAAAATTATTCGCTTCACTGGGCCCTTATTGCCATGTCAAGTATCCTATTCAAACTGCGTGTTTTTGTCAACACGATAGAATAAATGGATGTAGTGGTAGAAATGGTACAGTAAGCTTTACGGCTCGTCATCATCGTTATTTTCATCACCAGTATGTCGGGCCTCTTAACGCATCTCAATGCGACGTTTGAAATCATCGAACGGAAACATGGCGGTGTTGAGCGACAACATTTAGCAGATGCACTAGTGGGGCGGAGATCGTAGAGAATGATGTACGTCATAGTCGCGTAAACGTTCGACTCACTCGACCTAAGCTTCACCCGATACACGTGCAATATCAGGCTGTGCTAGAAACGTCCCGATGCTAACAGAGCTGCCAGTTGGGATTCACAGAGCTCCTTAATGTCCGAAGTATATATATATATACATATATTGTTCTTCGGTGCCATTGCCTGGACTAATCCGCTCTAAGGCCTAGATAAAGGCTTCGACAGCTTTTACTTCCGCAACTGCAATGCCACGATGTGCCTTATGAAAATACGAGCAGTTTCAAAAACAGAAACTGACATATTTCTTCATTTCACTGCAATTTCTGCGCCTTCTTTATTTTGCCACTGGTTAGCAAAATAAAGAAGGCGCAGAATTACCTTTTCAGTTAGGCTCATGAAATTTACCAAAGTACGACGATTGAAGATTCGGGATTGCATTGTGCGTTTAGGCTTGTCTTCTACTCTTCGGTAACAATAGTTCACCTTTCCTCAGTTGCTTCGCGAAACCTAGACAAAGCGGATGCTCAGTATTGTATTTGCAGTGCCTATTATGTTTACGAGTTATCATAAACGAGATGTTTTCAGATTCGAAGATCTTTGTCATACTAGCATTTTCGTACAGGCCATAAAACCCTGTTTTTCTATGTCGCCTCACATTTCTGCATTTTAGCGAGGCTTGTTACACAACTCTGAAGCAATTATAATATTTACCTACCTATTTACCTCGTTTTTCTGATGATTGCTGATGTATATATATATAGTACGGCGAAAACGACTAAGATTATGCTAATGCGATTTTACAGCACGGAAAAAGCTTGAGGTAATACGTAAATTTTAATAATTTACGTGTTACCTCAAGCTTAGAAAGGGTAATAATAGACTGTAGCCAACACATTATTTAAGCACTACCGTTGTCCATTGTTTAACTGTTTAAGGCTACCTGTTCAATTCGCATCCGCTGATCATGTCCTGATCTAATGTATTAGGTCATAACGTGCACGATCGGAGAACAAAAACGATCTTGTCCCACTGCATCACCGAAACTACGCTCGAGAGTAAAGCGATCATCAGATATGTAGTATGATTCTCTGTTCTTATCCTTCCGTCGCTATAGCCATGAGGGTTTGCGTAACCAACCGTAATCCGCGTCAATGGGAAGGTGGACACACTTAAGTTCTGCGCAAACACTTGACCCGAATGACCAGCAGCTATCGGAAACAACTGCACAACGAACAATTTGTTCTCCGCTTTGTTATTACAAAGATACACATCAGTCCGCATGTGCCAGCATATAGCAATGGCCGTCCAATTTGTTACGGTACTTTCCTACTCTGTTCATATATATATGCTCTTTTAGAGCTGTTTCAACCTTAGACCATGGCCTCCGGAGTTTTGTTAGTGGATGGAACAGAACCAATGGCTGCTTGAGATGGGTTTGTTTATGTTGCTTCCTATGGACAAAAAAAAACAAGTGATTTTTTAGTTTTATTCTTCTAAACTTGAAATACTGAAACATCACCATCAGAGAACATTCAGATAAAAAAACGAGCTCGACTATTTAGCTTGCAAAATTAGAACACTTTTTTAAGCCAATTGCTGTGGTGCTGGCAGCAAATTCGAGTACGACTTGTCTAACGTAATGAAATGCCCTAGTTAGAGTCGACAAGTTCTAACTTTAGCTATTAAAATCTTTTATAGTTGAACATTTCTATTACTGAACAAAATCCGTCGTACTATCTAAGCTACCTAGTTACGAGCTAGATATGTCTTATTGCTCAATAAGTTCAATTAGTTGCTCGTAAGTTCAATTAGTTGCGGTCCATCCGTTGTCGCATTACCTTACGTAATGTTCCTTTTTTTTGATCGAGGCCAAATTTGGCTGTTTGCCAAAATTCCGTTTGACATAGTGGCGCTATTAGCCACTGGGATCATTACTCCTTATGGACCCCTCTATTTACTGGTCGACATGTCAGCAGGTATAAGAAATCCGCTATGAAACTGTAAAAGGGGAAAAAATGCAGCAAAAATCATAAATACCAAGAGGATTTTGATTTGGGACATTTAAGTTTATAACGAAATATTTATACGAAATCGGATGGACGATCGGGGCGATTAGAAACAGTGACTGATCAGGACAAATAAGTGGTTGAAATAATTTTCTATAGAAACGCAGAAAACTCTGAGGTTAAAAGTGAAGGAAAGAAATGTGCGACGAATATATCATATCTCTGGATTTTTGTGCAGATCGCACGCTGGCAAACTGAAAGCTGTGAGCAACTTCTCTGCTATAAACTGTCCTATGAAAACATCATTTCAACCGTTTTTAACCCCATACTGCGATCATTGACAGTAAGGCACCTGAACATTCTGTTCAGCGAAGCTACATAGCTGTTTGCATGAAGAAGGCTTCGTGTGTGTAGAAATAACACGTATATAGGTACAATAGAAGAAATAAAAAGAAAGATTGTGAACTAAAATTATGCTATCTGTCTACTGGGAGTTGGTTGGGCCTCGCCATATTTCCCTGCACATCGGCGTGAGAAATGAATCGAAGGATCCAGTGATGATTCCCGATGACAAAACATTAGCCATGATGCACTCTATCGTGAGGCATTTAACACTGACTATAGTGTAGTCAAACAAACGCGAAAACAAATCATCATAATTATATTCATTCGTAAGCAACTACATATAATAGATCTACAAAAGGTCGCTGGTTGGGACCAATAGGCCGACCAATAGGCACCACAAGCGCACAACTACAAATAAGAAGAAGAAGAACATAATTTTACGGCGGGTCCTTTAGTATAATTCGGCATATAAAAATCCTCATACTGATTAGGTCAATCATCGCTGTGGGCTTCCTGCAGTGACCTTCAATTGAAACGCGTTGAAAACTTACCTGCAATGAATGTATTTAGGTTTCGGCACCCTAAGCTAAGATGGAACGCTTTATTCCAACGCGTTGTGCCAGTGGCTGCGGCTTCACAGCCACAAGCTTAAGAGCAAAGAAGGAATCGTATTCACCGATTTTTGTCTCCGTTTATGACAATGTGAGACTTTTCCGATAGATCGTCAAACGGTAACAGCGACGAAAGGGTTGGCAGAGTTGAACGCCAGGTTGATCGGAAAACTACTAATTAGCGCGAATCAGGATGTGATGGTAGCCTAGAACCTGGCGAAGAGAAGGCTTCCTAGCGAATTTTCAGCCAAATGCACAGCCCTTTTGGTAGCCAATGCAAAGCGAGAGAGACTAGACAATTACTGTGATGTGTAGCGCAAGTCGCAGGTCTCCCTTCACTGGTACGCGGCTACTCGATGCAAACGTTCTGTCTTGACAAGGTACGTGGAAGTCAAGACTCGAAGTCGTCTTGTAACCTGTAGTATAACAGTGATCACCGAAACAACGATCTAATGTTTCTATAGTAGGTTATGTTATACGATACCGCGACTGATCTACCACATAAAGATAATAATATAGGTCTTCCGCGAAGTTCTGTCAAGTATAAGTAATAATTCAATTCTTTAAAGTCTAAGCCATCGTCAAAATATCGTATGATCTAATATCACCATTAGAAATCGGGACGAGTGGAAAAGCTCAGTGATTATCCGTATAGATGCATAGATTGGAATTTGCGAACTATCCCCGTTGATGCGTTACCTCTATTATAAGATCCCAGAAAAATTTGTTTCGTGTAGCAAATATCTTGCCCTGTCCCGTTTCGTTGAAGAACATCTCAGTGAAGCGGTTGAGGCAAACTCAAGCGACAGGGTGCAACTTATTTACTAGTCGACAAAATGGAGTCGCAACCCAATGCACCACGTGTGGGGAAAGTATTGACCGTCTTTCTAGCTAGATCGCTTCAAAGGCATATAGATAAGGTAACATAGGTTGTGTCTGAGAGGTTTGAGAGCAGCAAATGTGCTAACATCGTTGAAGTATCTTTATCCAGATATAAGATTGAGCGCTTTGAGGATGAATAGAGAAATGAGGCAATTATTCCCTATATTTTACAATCTTACGATAAAAGCACAATCGAACAGTCGACCAATTACGACAAAAAGAAAAAGGTGAAATTGTTGTAAGATATGAGAAAGATGAACAGCCATCCTATCGCCAAAGGACTAAACATTTACTGCCAAACAGTTTCAAACTCTGGTCAAAAACAGCTCAAAACGAGCTGGGTAGTGCCCGTCGTAGCTTCATAGATAATGTGTTTGCTTGCCAATTCTAGGGACGTGTTGTGGTCGAGGTCCGAGCCCATAAAACATATCGACGGTGATACCAGTCGAAACATAGAAGGATACAAGAATAATTCAAAGAGTACAAGAATAGATAACAACTTTGCCAATTTAATAAGCCACTGAAACAGATAGATCGGAACTAGCTGATACCGCCGGACCACGTACATTCTCAGCTATCCAGTACAAATTGAGACAACTTGGGTGGGAGATTTTCATGCAATTACCATGTAGCCCAGAACTCCCTAATGGGGTTAATCTAGATTTAATGGAACGATGTCACAGAAGCTATAAAAGATTCGCGGGTATGGGCTTATTGTGTTACCAGAAAAATTGCTGAATATCATCAGTTGAAATGGTGCATACTTCGTTTAGGGATATCAGGTGATATTGTTTTAAAGTACAAAAAATGTTTACTATTTCGATGACCCACTCATTCATCCACGGCGACCCCCGTCCCTTTGGCAGTTTCCTGTATTTAGCAGGTATTTCGTGTAGCACAAGCTCTTCGACGAGCCGGTTTCTCAAATGTCGTTTGGTTATAATTATAATATTAAGGATTCTGAGCTAAAATTAAACATAATTCACTGGGCGAATAATTATTGCATTTTTCATCCAGTAAATAGTTTCTTTTGGCAGTTTCAATTGATGATATGTAAACTTTCGATCGTGTTGAATCGACGTAACCTTTAGGTCATATCATAACGACCTGCAGTCTGTCTTTAAAGGACCTTATCCAGGATAAGGATCCTTTTGATAGCTATATGAAGAGCTTCAGTTTCATATTAGCACCGATGATTTATTCTCGTTAAACGGAAAAATTATCATCAATCAATGGAAAACCCATGATTTTTACCATAAAGCAGAAATAAACAAAAGCAATTCGTATGCGGCCGGACCAGTCATCAGGCCAAGCGGTGTAATGTATAATAGATAAACAAATAAACAGAAGACGGCTGTGGCGGCATCGAAGAGAATGCAATGGAGCTAGAAGTAACACGAAAGGCGCTTTGCCAGCTGTAATCTAACAGCCATTAACAACACTTGCCTCTTTCTAAGTTCCTGACGTACCTCTGTAACAGCTAAAATTTAACGCGTTCATGTTGAACTTAGCACTCGCTACTTCCATTAGTGACAAATTCCGATTAGGCAGAAACACGTCGAAGTCCATGGTCGTTGAACTAACGTTATTTTTGCACCTTTTAGGTTCGCCTCAGACGCTTAAGTAGGTATAGTCAGAATGCTATTATGTCGATAGTGCTAGTTAGGGTAATTAGTGTTTAGTTAAACTTCGTTCGTAAGTTTGTTAAGTTCGTAATGATACCTTTGTCATTTGAAGGCAATATGTACTATTTCTGTTTTCTCAGTGTGCATCGATTTCACTTTTCTCTAATCTTTCAAGCTCACTTTACTTTTTTTTTTTTCATTAAAAGTCTCCAGGGAGATTCTGCGGGTTTGGCGTTATACTCTCTATGAAATATTACCTAAAATGAAAGCTGGTATTATCGTACTTTATGCCCACTCTAGTTGAGCTCAGAGGCTGCGTAGCCACCCCAGAGAATAGCTTCCAGGCTTCTCAGCCGTTGTAGAAACTTGTATGGACGAAGAACATCGCTATAAAGAGAGGCCAAGTTTAGGCAAAACGTGGGAAATAAAAACATATCGTCTTGTATGTTCTGTAAAAGGCAGCTTTATTTTTCTTAAAAGGGCTCGTTTAGAAGAAGCAAAATTCATAGAGAACTTCAGTTTTTTGATAAACTATCCTAACGAAATTCGGATATGCTATTTTTGCTGAACGTACATTAAAGCTTTAGGATGTCTAATCCGTTTGAACTTTCCCTCAAGAACTGTGGAAGCCATTTTGTACAGAAAGAGTTACATTGCACCTCACGCGGGATGCCGAACATGTTGTTCCTAGCAATGAGCAATTCAATCATTCTAGCTAATCGTTGAACATTCGTGCTTACTAAAGTCAATAGTTTTAAGAGAACGACTGTATACAGGTGCGGGTGTGTACGCGCTACTGAAGTATAACACTTCCGTATTGTTGACGTGTATATACACTGACTCAATTAGTGAACGTTAAAGTCCCCGATTAAACTATCCTACTGGTGGCATACATATAGCTTAGTAGCTCAAAATCTCTTCAGAATCCGCAAGAACCACTACGTTCATTAATGATTAGATAATGCTTGACTAATCTTCCGATCCATATGCTACTTACCACCGCAGAGTTCCAAGCTGAACTTCAATGTTCAAACGCGAAACCAGACTGAATTCAAACTGGATAGTGTACAAAAAAATATTTATACAAAATATTTAGTATGGATTTATCTATCGGGAGTCAAGAAAGTTCGCATTGACCGCCAAATGTTCTGGAGACACTGAAATTGCATAAAATAGCATAGCGTTAGTTGTAATGATCTGTTGGTTTTTTTTAGATCCTTTGCCAGAATGCCTTTGAAAAGATTCGACAGAACTGTCAGCCAACGATTTCGCTGACCGGAAGTGTTTTGACAGCGTTACACGTTATTATTGAGATGCTACCCATGGTTTACTGTTGCAGTTCTCTATTTCTAGAATCGTCCTATTTAGCCACAGGTGTCTATCTTTGTTAGTACCTTGATAGAACTTTTTGGGGCAGTGTGACGACATTGCGTTCGAAAACGCATCCTCACTTTCACCTTCTTCCCCACTGTTTGTTGATGCGGCGGTCGGCGTGGCCGTTTCTCTTCCTCGATCCGGATGCACTAGGTCGATGTTTGTCCTGATAGCTCTCTGATGAAGAGGCTGTGGAAAACGAAAGTTGTTCCCGAGGGGAGCTATTGGAGATGCGGGCTCTCCCTGTTTCAGTTTCCGCAGCGCGGCCAGCTGTAATGACGAGAAAATGAGCTAGACAAAGTCGTGTCAACATTTGGTGCCAGCAGCTTGCCAACCCAACTGCCAATATCGACTGAAAAACAGATGGAAATCTCAGAAACGTTGAAGCAGAGTATCTCAGTTAGGCTATACCATGCAACACTTCCACCGAAGATCGCTTTGTCTATCGTACTGCTGTTTATTTTAACACACATGTTAGTTCTAATTACCTGCGAGGGTGACATGTACAGAGGCCTGTTAAGTACGATCCACGTGGCCGTTTCCTCACAGCCAGGAGTCGTCAGCGATCCTTCATATGTGATCAGCGCAGCGGTAGCTGGAAGTAGCTCGTAGATTGATAAAGCCTTCAAGGGAACGCTGTCTCCCTTATACGTAATGTACTGTAGTTGATCCGTCAACATTTTCAAATCTAGGTTCGGTTTAGTCATCTTGGATTCTTTTAGAAAGCCATCCTGCCCATTGCCACGGGTCTGAGCATCCTTTCTAGTCACCTTGACAAAGATCGATACTGCAGCTATACCGTAAGCTCGATTTCGAGCTTCGCTCGAGTTCGCATATAATACACTATTATATGCATAGATCTGTACCTGTGAAGCAAAGTCAGCATCTCTTGGTGGGAAATCGACCTTCCAATGACCGATCATAATAAATATGCGTTGGAATTAAATATTCAACAACAAAGTCAAACAGCTGCAATTGTTTCCTACCTCTGCCGGAAACGCAAATCCAGCGAGAAGGTGTTCCGATCCTTGATGGTCAGTCCGGCCGAAATGGAGTTGAATCTCGTAGACGCGATATGAATATGAAAGCGGGCCTCCACTGATATTTACCGATGGAAGCTCAATCCTTGGAGCGCTGCCAATTCCATGTTCAGCCATGTGGCCTGAAGTGTCTGACTGAAGGCCGAGACTATCAGTAGCTAACGTACCCGGTGTCTCGACACGAAATACAACTCCCTGTCCGGTGTTACGCAGGACGCCCCGAACTCGTGCCTTGCCTACTTGTAGGCCCTGCAATTGAGGGTCGAACAAGAGCCTTTGTGGTTCAATATTAATCGGAGATTGGCGGCGACCCGTACTGCAGAGCCCCCATAGTCCTGGGTTCAGACGACCCCAAAAATCTGGACCTACAAAAATCGCAATAAAAGTGAGAATTGTCGTATGTCATCTAGTTGTTTACTGAACAACGTTGTTTATTGAAAAATTAAGAAGCAAGACCTGTTGGCTCTTAACAGAATATAAAAGCGTATTGAAGTGTTTCCGTTGAATCTAGAAAATGTCTACTCGAATAAACTTAAATAAAATATTTTAATTTTTTTTTTGCACCGGTCGACTATTACCTGATATTCCCTCATACGTCCACCAGTCATTCCAGTTGGCCAGCGAGCCTGAAATAGCAAACGGCCGCTTCTTATCACAAATTATTTCTATACATCGTGGTCTAGATTTTTTCCTAGAATTATCGATCTACTCCGCCAGAGGCTTTTTTGGCAAAAGTCCCATCTGCGCGTCATGATTAATTTATCGGAGACAACGGAGAAGAACTCATATGCTACAAAATCTACCTTTTCCAAATTGTGGACTCCGAATGCTCTCCACTAGAGTTTAATGAAACTGATCGCTATGGGCTGACTTTTTTTCCACATTTTCCCATATTTTTTTAGTATTATTAAAAGTGTGTCGCAGATAGCTCTCTGTAGACTAAGGGTCGCTAAAGGTAGTCATAAGCTGATTGAAAAAAAAAAAAAAAAAAAAACTTTAAAAAAATAGATGAGCTTTAATCCTTTTTAACTTTGTAACGATAAATCGTTAATTAAAAGAGTGACATGCCAGAGTTTTACAGTCGTACACTTTCAATATCCATACCCCATAAGCATTTATAGGTAAATTTGAAGCACAGAATATCACGTCATCTAGAGCGTGCCTGTTATTATTGTTACTATATTGTCTATTGCCACTCCCTATATTAAAAGGTATCATACCATTTATACAAAAGAGCAGAATATATGCACATGTTACTTTTCGAGCCATTATTATAGAGGTCATTGTGCCGAATCCGCTTGTCACTACTATGATTCTTTTGCGCGTGTAACGTTCACACCAGAGGCGATCCACATGACTGATAGACTACCAACGACAAAACGTCACGCATCTGTGATATTTTCCTCACATTTTCATCGGAAAGCCTACCGTTCTATTACTGTGCATTGAACTATAACTGATTCGTTCGTAACGCATCTTCTTCTTCACACTGCTAAAACCCTAACAGAGACATTAACAAGGAAAGATCGTATTTGTTGAGTTGGCAAGTCCTGCACTTTGTTCCAACTTCAGTTACAAAACTCCTTTTAGCGCTCTGGCTGCCTGATTGAAACGAGTGAATCCTAGAGTTATCCGCGGGGGCTTCATAGAGGGGCATTCCATGTCTCTAGTCGACGCATACACGAGTGCCGCTTGAAGACGACGTTTCGAGTTCCACCTTGCTGGAGTGGCCCGCCTCAGTGATACCCTCTCCCATATCGAGGGCGGGCGGGCGAGCCCTCCCCGACTGATTCCATACGAGGGCTCTCTTTCCCAATCATGCAAGTCCAGTGGTAAGCTACCTGGACGGTAACTAGACATTTCAACGCTAGCCTTTACATAGTTTATCACAAGAAGATGCAAAGAATAGCTTGCTTCTAGTAGACAAGGGAAGGCGCTAGCAACATGTATGCGCTTGCAAAAAGTGATTAGAAGAACATTGCTGCAATACACTGAAGACTAGATTGGGACGTAATGCAATCGTGCTTTCATGTAAAAGAAGGATTGCTTCATCTGAAGGTTCAAGCCGCGATCTCCGTTGTCCACCTAAAACAACTATATCCAGTTTTGCGCTCGGTATTGCCGCTAAACACACTTCAGACGGGCTGGTTCCCACCACGAAACGAAGCAAACATGTTGCCCCGGCGCCGTTATATCGATTTAGCTCCGGCGGTAAAGACATCGCCAGTACGATAGTATCTATTAATTAGATTCAGCTTTGTTCTTGTACAGTGTGCCAATTGTCTAAACGACAGTGTCAGTCCACGATGACCGTTCATCTGCAACAAAGCCCTCATGGGAAGTACTGGATATTCATACAAAAGAGATTTTTGCGTTTATCATACAACTATCACTAAGCATAAGCGTACGATGTTTGTCCGTTCGAATCTGAAGTAGGATTTCGGTGGGGCTGCAGTAAATCAAGTTACCGAAAAGGCGTCGTAATTAATTGATGCATACTTAGGTTGCTATAACATTGTGGCATAAAGTATGTAGGGTATTTCTACACCACTAGAACAGAACCGCTAGGTAGTAACGTGTCGTTAATCATCTGCACAATATGCGCCTCGAAACATGTGGTCTTCGTAATAGTTTAAAGACAACTAATTGCTACCGTTAGTATGGGTTTATCACCTGTAATAAAATGAGCTATGTTTTCTCAAAACGTTTAGACAATTTTCACGTTCGAGTAAATGTATAAGTCAATAAAAGACGATGTCTAGGTGTAGTGACTGACTGTTCAGTCGTTTTGTTAAATTCCTAATATATATACACTGACGACTAGCTACTTCGCTGCTCTTTCATATTATTATTGCTGGAGATTGGACCGGCAGCTATTATAAGTGGCTGTCGCAGTGGCGAGCTGAAAAACCTGGACACAGAGCCTGCCCATAAATTTCTTATATGCAGGTTAGATACATAAAAAATTTTCCAGCTGAATTTCAGTAAGTTAGAAGAAAGAAGTTACCCTCATATCCTCTCCTGCACTACGGCATGTCCTAACTCCTCTATTTCAGATAGGAATCGACGCACTTGCTAAAAGCAGAGCATATAAGCACGTGCTTAGCGTCTACTACCTTCAAGAGACCCACAAAGAATTTCCCAAGCTCGATCTTTACGTTGCCCGAGGTAAATCAAATCCTTATCGCAATTTCCTTTTACATCCAGTTAATACATACCAGTAAATATCCCAAAGCCAAGTGGGCTCAGCCGCAGCCATATAGTCCGTACAGAGTTGAAGCATGGCCTGTCTTGCGGTGCGCAAGCGCGCGCTCGCACACTTGAACGTCGTTTGTCGTCGCTGCGACAGGGCAGCGACTGCTGCGGCTGCTGGTGTCACTGTCAGTCTCATGCGACCAATCGCCCTACAACCACTCCAATCTGCTGCTGCCGCCGCCGCTCCCGCTCCGGTCACCGTCGCCGCCACTGATGCTGTTTCTGTCTTTGGGGAAAAATCGAAACGGGAGAAACGAGGGAGGGTGCGAGAAACAGTCCACAGGAGCGAATAGGGACAGAGGCAATTTCAAGTCAATTTAAATCCTTGTTGTATTACACCTGTTCGGTCGGTCTGTGTTCTCTACGTGCCAGTGTGGGTTCCGCTCTTTCGTAGTTAGACCCCACCATTCTCCAGCCAGCTTGTTCGTTCTTCTACTACGGCCATTGCGGTCCCCCGAGACGAAACGGGCCTGTCGTGACAGTGCTAACCTGAGCCAGTCGATCCTATATCGTGTCTCGGGCGCGAAGCGACATACGGCGACCATAACCCACTTTCGGAGGGTAGTTCCACGGGCTCTGGAAAGTGGGTACTGGCGGAGGGCGCGGGTCGAGGCCCCTTCTATCTCATTTTCCCAACGACCTGTTGTTGTAATTGCTCGCCCATTTCCTTGTGCCCTAGGTTTTCACGACCAGCCTCTCCCACGGCCGCCCTACCAAAGCCGAATCAAGTGGACGTATAAAAGGACAAAGGTGAACAACTGAAATTCGGCAACGAGGCGCATCGATACCATGTGTCGTAGCGTTTCGCCAACGTATGGTGTCACAGAGCAGATGTATACATCTCCTCTTATTTGATTGCACCACGCAAAAGATAAACGTTGATTCGTTTAATGGCCTGCAACAAGAACAATATGCGTATGTCGCTTTCTAGCAAATTACCTATGAGGCGTTTTTCTCACTTTTTCTGTTCACTAGCATCGAACCTTGTTGGTTATTGGTCGGAATCAGTTGCTTTACAGGGGAGGAGACGAGGAGGGGGGTGAGGGGTGAAAACATTGTACTACCTTCTTTGACGTCAGCCCGAGCTCTATCGCAGGTTGTGGAACATTTTTTTTATTTGCACATTATTGTTGTAATGGCTCACTTTTCGTGTGTATCAAGTGGCTTAATATTGCACAGATAAAGTAAAGCTTCCCAGCTGAAAATACGATTAAGCGGGTGATATGACGTCAGTTCGTGCGGCACGCACCCAACTATCGAACATTTGTCTTCTTTAAAACCACCGTTTGATTTAATTCCTAAAAGACGTATCGATTTTCCTGAAGTTTCTTCCGCAAGAGTCTCGTCCCCGTTAGTAGTGATAACAATTTGATCTCTTCCGTTATAGTTCCGAGAACCATCTTCCACATCGAAATTTACAACTCAACTATTTTTGGTAGTTTCTTCCAACAGTTCTCATCCCAATCATTTTTTGGGCATTTTATGGGCATAGGTAGCATTTGTGCTTTTATCGTAATAAAATTACAATATAGCCAACTTTTACAGAGACTCCCCAGATCTCTCATCTCAGAAAGACATTTCAACAACGTTAGCACATTTACTGCCGTCGACTCAGCCCAACCCGAACCAAATGATTCAGCAACGTCGAACCGACGCAACCTGTATTAAGTTTTTTTAGCTGAAACAACAATCAATACTTTATATATATAAATATCTATTTATACATACATACATTTCGATTAGACAGTGCTAGAAATGTATTTAATGAAACCCGCTTGTAAAAATGTTATTAAAAACATTAATCTTAATTATCCATGCATTCTAGAAAGCGGTTATGATAGAATTTTTGCGATTAAAGAAAGAAAATTCTACCACAGATCATTTACTATCGATCGAATAGTTAATACGGAATTTGATATTTTTTTACTATTTACAGCAGAAATATGTATTGCGGGTGTACAAACGTTACTACCTTTTAAGTAAATGTCAGTGATATCAGCAGTCTGCAATATAAAAAATATTTTTTCGCAAGATAAAAAATATTTTTTTTTTTGCTTTTCATCCAGGTTGGTTAGAATCGTCCACTTTTTGCTCTAGGTCTATAATACGTTTTCATTTATCGCATCGCGAAGTTTCCACTGATACATATATAACACTTGACTAATTACGTATTTACAATATTTTAAACAAAGATATCATCGGTTCTACGAGATAATGCGGGGTCAACATTGTGCGTGATAATTAGATAACATCAAGTTATCAATGGGAAAATGATCTCAGTCTGAAAATTTTGATCAGATGAAGAGAAAGAATAGGGAACATCGTCATATAGCCCGTGCAGTCGACGCGATCACGATGTCGCAGTAGAAGTTTCAACGTATTACATTATTATGCGTATCTGCTTTTACTTTCAGCGTAGGCCATGATTACTGTCATTATGTATGAGACGTAGCCGGCGAGGCGAAGGGTCAGGAAAAGCACCAAAGGCTAATCAAGGGATCAGTCAAAACAACCAAATAATAACAAAATAAGAATAAAAGAAACATAATAATAACGATAAAAAAGACAGGAAGAATATTGATCCACACTGGAGTACGCTGGCTCGTAGGCAGGGGCTGAGGAGTGGAGGGCCTGGCTATCGGTTGAATAACCAGCTCTTTAGTAAGCAGAATTGAATTTACTGGTATATTCGTCATTCGGTGGCCAGTAATTGGACGAATAATAATGGAGCACGTGCGTGCGTGCGTGCGTGCGTGCGTGCGTGTGTGTGTGTGCATCTGTGCACGTGAAGCGACAAGACACGCACGCCATGGCAACGTCGCGCACTTAAGCCCTGGTCGTTGCAGCACTATTAAGGCCGTAAGTGCTGATAGTTTTTTTTTTCTGTGCAACGTGTTTACGGCAGTTACCTGTTCCACTACAGGTTGTGGTCGAGCCGCCGTAGCCATCGATTCAGCACTGCCCGGTGCATTGTCCCTAAAGATGTTCGCGACAGAAAATGGCTATGTATATAGAACTTAAACAAATAGAAAACGTATCGTACTTTCTTGTTTAGCTATAAGTTAACATCGCCTTTATTGATATTTGCTGCAGACAGATAACTAATAAATGAATAGCAAAAAATACAGTATAAAGAATGTGACTGGGATATTGTTTAGCCACGTTCGTGAATGACGCGTATCAACAGGGCTAAACGATATGCGTACAGGATATGCCGTCTAAATTACAATAGGTTCGCCGTACTCGTCGTTCGTTCATCTGTTGCGCCTGAAATTAAGGGAGGCCAATTCTGTCAAGGCCACCGCTGCAAACTGATTATGGCGTAAGACACGTCGTTGTTTCCGCAATTTGCGCGAAGACCACCAATTTCTTCACGCGAGATAAATCCCGAGAAGATTTTTATGGGACATCACATGATATGTTTAATGAATACAGATTCGGTTTAACGACCAGAAAGTGCTTAAAAACTTATTTTCTCAGAGAATATAGCGACTGTTCTTAAAAGACGAATACCCATTAGCAATTGGCTTCTCCGTACAATCTCCAACGGCCACAAATTTTCCGCTTTCTGCATTTGTAGACTTTTTGGCCATTTTGACTTCTCGTACTTTTAGAACGTTTGGCTCTCTATCAGTCCGAATATATTTAAATTTCTACGGAGACTATTTGCTACCGTTGAAAGAGAAGGAATATTTTGATAATAACTAGTGAGTAGTTCCTTAGTAGGTCCTAGTAGTAGGTCCTTAGTCAAAGCTCGAGTCCAGGTGAACGATGAAACTAAATTCAATGGAAATTCAGTGTCAGGAAGTATTAAGTAAATGCAAGGAAATCTATAGAGATACTTCTGCTCTTGTTTAAACAGTTTTCTTAAAGAAAACATTACAAATTTCGATTCTATCCAGGACGTCCGTCCTGACTTGACATTAGGCTACTGCAGGACATGTTCTAGTTACACCGTTCGTCGATGTTTCGCATCCCGAATATCAACTATATGCGCCACATGAATTATATTTGATTTGATTTAGGGACAGGTATTTTCTAACAAAGTAACAGAGAATCAAGTGATTTTCATATAAATTTCATATCATAAATAATTGTGTTCTTCAAACGTTTGCTAATCGATAACATGCGAAAAACTGAGAAACAAACATCTTTTTTAGCTAACCATATTGGCCTGATATAGGTATTGATGCTAATGGAATTGTAGCAACAGTAGAGTAGCAAGGCCCATTTTTAGGAGTTACGTGTATTCATATTGTAATCGCGCTATTTTTCAAAACACTCTCCTGGTCGTCCGAAAGCAAGCTCTTCCTCAAACCGAGTAACCCTTCGACATCTACCGCGATTTCGAGGACCACATGCTTTTCCTACAGCTACTTCCCTTGTATATAGCTGAAATAGGAACGAGCCCATTTAGCAAGAGGAATACTTGTAAAAACGATGAAACCTCCTTTATATGCATATTTGTATAACCTGCCAGCAGTCGCCTTCAAGCCACTGCCGTAATCTGTTTAATGTTTAAAATTGCCTCGAACAATATCTTTTATTAGTCACAAAAGCTACTAGATAGCGTTATAGCACAAAAACCTGAAAAGTCCATCTGTTCTATTTTATCGCTCAAGGGTTCATAAAGGGCAATCAACAATATTCTAGCAAGGTCGTACTGGACCTTTTGTTTGTAACGTACGCGGATAGTATAGCTATACGCTATATATATGATAGTAAAACGATTCCTATATTTGGCACTTTCATGTAATTGCTATGGGCTTCAGCGATAATGCTTCGGATGCAACCTAACCACCGGTAGAACTATGCATGTCTCGAGCGCGAAAATATTGTAGGCCCGGAAGCAGGTACCTGTAGTACCCACGTGTAAGAATATCTGTTAAGATAAATATTTTATGTGATAAATGGAATAGTGGGCGCAAGAAGTACATGATCGATCTAACTCGCCCAGCTCTGTTCTGTGTTACATTTAGTGAACACTTGTTTGCATCCATCCAAGAGGCCATATGTAAGTTAGCCGCCACTGAATTTCGGTTCGAAAGGCAGGAACTACGTTCGTACCGCACACGAGCGCTCGATACCGATTCCTATAATCGATGGTGCTTTTCCACACTCATGGCATTTTGATTTAAGTAGTTTGGTGCAAGAAACAAGTATATGAAAACTTTGCATGGAAATACATATCGTATTGTAAAAAAATGTATAAAGAATCATACCCAAAGCCCAATTCTATCAAACCATTTTTGACAGACTGCAGTGCATGAATCTTCCTGTAAATGAGAAAAAAAGATCGATTATTATTTGCTCTATAGCTATTCCATCGCGAGAGAGGCGCTGAAAGCCTACCGTCGTTTGTAGCTTGATTTATCAACATCGACCTGACGACTGTGTCAGTTCTATATATATATATATATATATATATATATAATTATGCCAGTGGCCTGGAGTATGGATCTTGAAAAGAAGCATTTTTTGGTGCAGCTAAACTCTTTGGTGACTTCCTCTACAAAAGCTTACTTCATCACAATAGGTCAATGATTGATAAACCGACCGAGTAACTCGCTTGGTTGGCAGGCACGTAGATATAACAACAATAATAATAATATAGCATACCCATTCAATGAAGATGCCGTGTGGCGGGTTACAAACGTAATCCTCGTCCATGCGCAACTGTGGGCCACCCAGAACGACACAGATAAAAATAAACGCCACAATAAAGTGACGAGTCATTGTGTATATGAGTATGTTCCAAAACTGCGCGGAAATAACGCAAACGGGAAACGTAGTTACGTGCTGTGGGAAAATTCGATGTTTTTTATTTTAGGTTCAGATGTACGTACACTTATTTAGCCAGGAGGATCAAATGTACTCCGTATGACTACGTGAGCCTGTAGACGAACCTAAGCATATGTCGTATACTATTACTTGATATTGGGCAGTCAAAATTACATTTCGAATTGCAAGCCATATATAGGTCTAAGCACAGGATAAGTGCACGCACGTGTGTTATTCTACAAACAGGCATAACAGCACGGCAGCAGTGACGCGCCAATCGATACAAACGGTGTACGTTTTCAGCGACGCCATTAGCGCACAAGGGATATCTACAATGGATACTTTTGCGTTGTCCTTTTCCTTTAACCTCTTGAAAAAAAACCTACATTTGAACTGAAAGCTTATCGTATGGTTGCTTGTTAGATATTTGTGCAGATCAATACCGGGGACTAAGTTAAAAACGATATTTTTTTAATTGTACGTCCACCGATAGACCTAGGCACCCAGTCTCTCTCTTCCACTAAGATAACGAACTGACTTGCGCACCAAAGCGACTAATTACATTGCTTGCGGATTCGGAATAACCATAAGACGTTCAGAACCTATTTGCACCTGTTGACTATTTAGAAACTTTTTTTTTCAACTCAAAACAAAGTTTCAACAAGTTAGAGGACACACCCTCAACGTAGATCTAACTTATTTCACGTAACAGTTATAGTTTGACCGCATAACTAATGCAGTGAGCCGTTCGGTCTGAATGGTTAGTAGTGGCACATTGGGTATCACCTTCGATTGACCGATCACTGATCTCGAGACCGGTGCCTCCCACACACTACATAGAATTCAACTGTAGAAGAATCATCTCCGGTCGTCGGAAGTAGTTTGCTGCTACGTCGGATCGGTGTTCAGTAAATCATAATAGATTATACTTTCCTATGGGAGCATTACGCGTACGACAATACAGGTTTACCTGTATTACTGATATACGTTGTGCCAAAAACGCTCACTCAAGTAGAATAGACGGAACACTTACTGCAGATCTAATATATCTCGTTTACTTTGTTTTCTCCTAACCTTAACAGCTGTGACTTGGTATTTCGGCCCCAAAGCGCATCTTTGACACTTCTGCGATCAGTTAACCTGAATAACTAATATTTGAATTGAACATAACCGACTGGGCTATAAAATTGATCGTATGATGGGAAGGTCGATGAAAAACAGAACAATACCTGTCTCAGCTGGAGATCAAACGTGGAGTGGCCGCCTCTTCTTTCGTCTCATTTTCCCATCATTACAGATAATAGACGTAAAGGTGTACGTGAAGTAATTATATTTCGTTTTTATCGAATATTACCTAGTGATATCCGATATACATGATTTACACAAGGTTCAGTAACTTTTTTCAATGACAATTCTAGTTTAACTTGTTTCCACCTAAATAAATACTAGCGCTTAGAGGGGTAGGAGGGGAGGGGGGGGGGACTAAGGGAACGTTCACAATGTAGTTGCTTCCACGAAAATTGCTGATATATCTACTAACGACGGCCGCATCAGTTTTCTAAAGCAACCCACGTAGCACTTTCAGGTTACAACGATCATCTGGAAATGGAGAGGATATTACTTTGCCCTAAAGCGTCAATGTTAAATACGTTCGATTCCTATGGGTACAGCAAATTAGATGAGTTTGGCTAAGTTTAATAGCAGTTTTTGCAAAGCCAATTATTTGTGGCTGTCTACTCTGCCGACAATGGAGTCCTTACTAAAGCCTTTCGTATAATTACGCTTTGCTTACATGTGTCCTTCGTTAAGCAAGCGCACATCTTCCACCCATTTCAAAATAGTCCACGTAATCTGTCAAACGATCTTGGCACCTGCCCGCCTTGTTGAGTCCGCAGGGCTTGCCAACAGCCGTAACGCGGTGGTCAAACTGAAATCAAAGTAGCTTCTGATAATTCCGACTCCATTAGTAATTCGACGCTTGTTTAAAGAGATGCTGACATTTCACGCATAAGTGGTCAGGACAAGGAGATCAAGAGCCATCTTGATCTCGTTTGGCCCTACTACTTCCTCGCGTGGGACCTTGGACTCCCAACGAAACGGACTTGATGGGTTGAAAATGTAACCTTCTTCTCACTCCATCTACAGTGTTAATAGCTAAAATTTTTAAAACCAGAACCTTCCGACCGTGAGGCAATACGCCAATGAAAAAATTGCCAGATGTACCTTATATCCGAAGCGTACGAAACCACCGTCTGTCTCCCTTTGCACCGACGTTGTTGACTAATAACTTAAAGTAACATTTTTTTCAGACTTCAGACAAAGACGAAATAACATATGTCGTAGCTGATGATTCAATAACGGTACGCTTCAGAATGTGATCAGATTCTGTTTGATCTCTCGACTGGAAATTTTCGTGGTCTATGTAATGAGAGAAAAGCAATTTAACTTGTCAGTTGGAATATTTCTGTGAAAAAGTGAAATTAAATATAGATGTATCAAAAAAAACGTACCCATTGGCGGTCCAAATCCGTCCATGTTCTGCATACAGCGGTGCACTCATCAAACTAATGAGCCCAACAAGATTCTCTATTTAGACTTCGTTCTATTCAATATAATAGGTCGAGTGTGTACCGTGAAGTGGTGGCGCTTCATTGTATTCTAAGTAATACTCAATCATTTGTGTCTCAGGTAAGCTTCATAAAAAGCAACAGGTTCTACTCAAGCGGAACAGTAAACACTAGACCTGGCGCTTACATGGGATTCTGATCGAAGAAAAGGAGGTTTGGCCCCAGTAGATTTACATGATCTGACGTTGATCGTCGAAATGATTCCAGTATTCCTGATCAGCCTACATCTATCTACGTTAGCATTTATATATTCTGTTGAACTAGTCATTTAATGCTGGACTTTAAATGACGCCATATGATCAAGTACATACCCATTCTACGAATCTTCCAATTGGAAAACCACAAACGTGGCGCTCGTCGTACAACGCACAGAAAACGGTACTGCAGTTCATTACGAACAAAATGAGCAGCAAACGACAGATCATTGCTGATTGAACTGAAGATTTCTGAAAGCAACAAGGTAATCAATAGCACTAAAAATCACCTTAAATATTAACGACTCCTCAGGTTGCTTTAATTATTATATATAAAGCTAATTGAAATATAGTGGTTAATAATAATGGCCGATATAATGGTTAATTGTATATGCAAGACGGCGCCGCCAATTTATTTCTAATCGAAATATCACACACTTATTCTGGCACTGCTCGTGTGCTTCAGATACTCTAGAATCAGGCTTCATTCCAGCACGTTCATGCTACCAAAATAGGTAGACGTGGTCCTAAGCGAAACATATCAATGACCTCGATAATACAATAGAACAATCCACTACGGACCTTTCACCTAGTTTAGTTGTCTAGAAGAGCGGTTAACACGTAGTTACCTGCTGTAGGATTTTTCAATGTTAGATTCGTACGAATCGCGCAAGCTATCGTATAGCTTTTATCTCTTGAATGATTCGAGCCTCATTTTCTCGTTTACAATATTCAGCACCTATATTTTTGCTGCTCATCGTATTTAAATAGTATCTTATTCTACACTGGCGAGGACGCCTCTCGGCTCATGTTCCACCGTCTTTCGCCTAAGTGACCTCCTGTTACACTTACTAGAAGGCTGACTGCGCCATGTAGCATTAATGATTAACGGATTTCGGATCGGCCAACAAATACCCCGTCTGTTCTACGAAACATTACAAAGAATGCAAAATCAGAAAAAAAAAATTCAGTTAAGTTACAACGATAACGCAGGTCGTCGTATCGTTTTGTTCCTGATCTTACAGAGTCGTGCTTGGTACTTGAGTATTTTGCTTCGTTTTCTTGAGTATCAGTTATACTGTTGTCTGATCACTGAGACTTTGTCCGTCGCAAAGCAAAACATCCTATATTTTACTAGCTGCCTTCCAACGTACACGGAATGGAAGACAGTATAGTTCGCTTCCAGTCACTTCGCTAGTGCGGTATTGGTTTAGGCGCCATCCACATAGCTTTCGACACGCTGCTCGCCTATCTTCGTTAACAAAGAAAAGGGAAAACGGGCTAAGTGGAATTCAGACATCTTAAATTGAATGGTAGCGCCAGTAAAGCAAACCCAGCTTCGGGGCTCTGTTATTGTTATCGACGTACCTGTCGTAGAGTCTGCCGATTTTCCTGTCAGACTCTGATCGTTGTCAGGTGTGTTGGCTGCAAAAATTCGATGTATGCTAGCCGACGGAAATGGCTGAAAATCTTTTGATTTAAATTATGTTGATTATTTTAATAATTCCACGCACTTTAACGGGTGAGCTGAACATCATCTTATAACTTAATAATATTAGAACATCGTAGGGCTGAAGCTGAGCCCACTGCAACAGCGATCACGTGACAACATATCACCTAGGTGTGAAAGCTTTTCAACCTCGAGCAAAATTTGAAACAGCCGTAACGGGCTTCTGCCCCGAAGATCATGTAAATGGTGACGTATGGCAATTCCCGGTTTTTAGGTGATGGTTTCTAATGCGGCGGTACATGACGACTAAAGATTTGGAGCGCAGGTTTAACACGCATTAGTTTCTCAACTTTTTAATCAGCGGTCATCTTCTTAATGATGCTAAGTAGCGCAGAATATAATTTCGTTAAGACAGCTTAGCTAATACTAATAGAATAGGAAGCGGCTCTCCGTTTACGGCTCGCTTTACATGTTGACGCCGTCTAATAAACCAAATGGACTATCAAGTGCTTTCGCTAAAAAGCTGGACAAGCATTTACAGGATCCCTTATATATGACTACATTGAAAACAAGATAGGATTCAATAGCTAAGAAGTTAACATCTTCTTGGCCCAGTGTAAGACTATGATTTTTTTTTTTAATATTATAGACAATGCATAGCATTAATCGGGCAAAACATAATAGAGTCTGAATAGGTATGCCACTAATTGACCGCATTTAGGTAAAGCGCCGTCTTTCTGTAAAAAAGGTTTGAGTAATACATTTTAGATATTTTAGCCGGATATCATAAAGTAAATCTATGTTTGGCAGGCCGAGTGTGGAGTTCAGTTTCGGCGGTTGGGTTTGATTCCGCCTAAACCAGTATCATCGCTATGTCACTTTACCATATGACGGGCTGGTAAGATGAAATGGCATGCGCAACCATATTCAATCAGCGTAGGCAGTCTTGGTAGATTCCTCTTCCACGCCTCTAGACCAACTTCGTCCCAAACGGAAATTATTTCTCCTGCGCGTATCGTATCTTGCCTCAGCTGCCCAGAATTATAGCAGATTTATATGCACTGCAAAAAGCCTTTTATACATGTTTTATTGGCTATTTTTGCTTGCAAGTCAGATTTGTCCATGTTTTTTTTTTCTCTCCCACCTGTTGTTTTAGGAGGGCAGTACAATTTAAAAATATGTGAGTAAAAGTGTGACCTCTATTCGTTCGGTACACTGGTTAGAAGCAGGCGATAGAGCCTTAATTCTATGTTGGAACTTCTGTTAACTCCATGTAAGGAACTGTGTTAAATAATTAGTGAACACTCTTGTCTTCCTTTCGTAACACTTACAAATACTGGGAATTGGTTTTTGAGTTTTCCACCCTAGTTGTTTTTCTTGAGCGAGTCCCATTCCACACGCCATTTTCCAATCGGGTTTCTCTGTACTTCTTTTTTGTTAATTCTAGTTCGCCCCACCATAGCCAATCTCTTCTCTGCCTCTAGACCATGGAACTGTTGTAGCAGGGATTAACAAGGCGGTCGTACCGATCCTTATGCAATTCTGTGTAGTTCTTACATTCGAGAATCGCCCGCACTCCTCAGAATCGTTTTATCGTGCTCCTGACGCTCCATAGCATAACTCCAACTGCAATGCAGCTACAGCCGATATGACTTTCCTTCTGTCTACTTTTGCTAATGTGTTGTTAGCTGGATATTGTGCTTTCTTTACCGTCTGCACCTGAACGACGATAGCCAGGCCGTTCGCATATACTGCTAAGTTGTAATCTTCTCGTAGGCCTTTTGTTTTCGTCACAGGCGAAACTCTGCAAAAGCGTCCCTAAGACAGAATCCCATATGTCTCCAGCGGTCACCTCAGATGGTCGAATCCATCGCAGTCGATTAGCCTATACCTTTAAAAAAAAATTGGAACAAAATTTACTAGGAACATTCCCTTATCTGAATTTGTTGAGAGTGATCCGCCACGGTAGACTGTTAACTACATATTGAACAAGTAAGAAGACTGCGAGTAAATGGTCTCGGCTTTTGTTGTACTTACGTTCAGATCTGTTTGTCCAGTAGCTAGTGGAGAGTATTGAGCTTTCTTCGCGAAAGCCGAATCATATTGAACTTCTTTGGCATATCTCCTTACTGTAACCTCTGCTATTGTATCTAAGTCTTTTGCAACTGACTTATTGGGCATTTGTATCAGTAAACGTCGTGTCGTTTATATATATATATAAAAACAATTCAATCGCTTTGATATTTATCCAGTCCGGAAAATATCATTTGCAATCTGTGCAATTAACTTGGAATTGGTTAAATAGAAATTTTGTTCTGCAGGCACACAGAGGCTCTCTTTATCGGTCCTATTCGACTATTATGAGGATTGCACCGCACGTGGATTTTCAGGACAGTCGATCCCGAAATCTTTGTGTGATGCATCCTGCGGAAGGTCTTTTATCATAACAACTTGGAAACGACAAACGGAGCTGTGTATTGTGTAAGCTTAAACACATTAATGATTTCGTGTCACATTCTTGTTCTGTCAGTTAAACCCGTAAACATTCTCTGCAAGCCTCTGTGTGCCATGTGGAGTCTGTACTCAATTGTACAGTACCAGACACGATGCGCGATAACGGTGCTACATTCACTTTCTAGTTCCGGATTACTAATGAAGCATAGAAGTGCAGTCGGGAACTGCCCACTTCAATTCGACAAATGGACTTAACTTCGTCTCGGCACACAACAATCGACAAGAATGATACCTCCTCGAATGTTTCGGGACTCAGATCACTTGGTAACATTGCACGTTTCAAGCAAAAATAGCCCACATCCTGTGAGCTACGCTAACCTCGAATCCCTTTGTGCATTAAGCCAATGCCTGTAAAAGACCTTAACAAATTTCTATTTTATGACACCCTGAGTCATTTCGAAGTCACTCGAACTACTCTGCTATTCCGTTGCTCAGTCGCTGAAATACCGCGAACAGCATTTATTTCAGTTAGCTACACAACGTTGCCTAGATTTCAACACAGTCTACGATAGACTGATGTGGAACAATCAGTAAATTTCAATGTCTTTCCTAAACACGGGAAGATCCGTCGAAAGTGATACGGTGTGTAAAAAACGACAAGACACCAATTATGCCTGGATCATGGGTAAAAAATCAAACGCGTTCAACATTCTATCAGGTGTAAAGTGAGCGTGACCGATAGCCGTGAAACAGATTTCGGTTGGTGTCTTCGTATCCCCCATACCGTTAGCAGAGTAAAACTGTAATATACGTAGATGACGCAGCTCATGTCCGCAATTCATGCATATTCGATCTGACTCGATTGATCGTGCACAGCAGGTAAAGTTGCACTGATGTTAGCTAACAATTTTTTCTACTATTTTTTCTACAAAGATTGAGCATCTCATCAGCGTTGTGGCTTGGATATCCTACAGCCTTATGAAAACCATATTGTTCGTTTCCCGCACGAGCACCAAACGACGCTCTGTGTATAAAAATTACAATTTTGGGTTCTTAGATACAAACAGGGCATAATATTATCGTAGACTGTAAAGATGATAACGTATATCGGTTATCTTATACTTCGTACGTTCTCGATTAGCAGATCTTAAAACCTAACTAACTATTCAACTGAGTCACTATAGATTTAACCATAGTTAGTTAGGTTTTAAGATCTGCTCATCGAGAACGTACGGAGTATAAGATAACCGATATACGTTATCATCTTTACAGTCTACGATAAATAATGTAACGTGGTACCTAAGAACCCAAAATTGTAATTTTTATACACAGAGCGTCGTTTGGTGCTCGTGCGGGAAACGAACAATATGGTTTTCATAAGGCTGTAGGATATCCAAGCCACAACGCTAATGAGATGCTCAATCTTTGTACCTCGATAGCAGCGTAGATATTTTTACTACAAAGATAGATGAAGGACCACGAATCTATGTCGAGTTCTTTGTACTAAAAAGTATAGAAAGTAAAGCGACGCAGAACTGGCCATAGCAAAGTTTATTACTAGGTCAGAGTAAGTGTGAATAGACAAATATCGTCAGCGAAGCTGTACACGTAATCATTAGTATAATAAAGAACCGTTGAAAACAGTTGTTATGGGTCCCGAAAATCTCGCTCAAGAGGGTCGGTTGCTACTGGCATTAGCAGCTACAGCTTCCAATAGATCCTTCGTCGGTAGAAGTCGTCCTGCACCTTCCTTTCATATGGCCGAACAGATTCCTTTTCTTACCACATGGCTTGCCAGTTTGCACGACAAGCTCAGAGAGACCCTAAATATTCATGATGAAATTAATAATTATAGATATCGCTGCGACAGATAAAAAAACGACGGGTTATCTATGCACGATTGATGACAAATATGCAAGATTTGATAGGTTTGCAGCTGGTGTCAGTCCGTATGCAGCTGGTGTCAGTCCGTACAAGCTGGTTCTACTCTCTACAGACATGCAAGCACACGATTCTGCTCTCTACAGACGATTCTGCCAATGGTGATTGATAGCAATGAACTCTTTGAGACTAAAGCTAATTACTTTGCCTCTGATTAGCAGTTCTAATGACTAGGAGAGATCATCTTCGCTCACAGAGCTTGTACGGAGATGTTTTACGACAACTCTTACGTAAAACAGGCCAGTAAAGACTCATAATTCGATTTACCACAACCAATCGGTTTAGTGATTCTGAAGATTCCCATAAGTTGTCGATAAGGAACGCTCAGATGTTGCTTTCTCGAACTACGCCTGGTCAGATCCAGGTGGCATCGGTTTGGATGGCAAGCGACTTAAGTGAAGTAAGAGAAAGAAGCAAATCATACGACTGAGGCGCTCTGCTCAGCCGCATGTTGCCCGAACCTTCAAGAAGACCATGAAAAGCCCCGGCAATATTTCGTCGGTTTTTCTCGGAAAACAACTTCTGTTGGCAAAATCCGTTTCGCGCAATAAGGATTTCTAGCGTTAACGAAATCACATTCGTTCGCTCCAACTTGCAAACCAAGGCTCCACCACGCAGGATCGTTACTCCGTAACGTAATTATCGGAAGAGCGAGATTAGGTATCATCCACTCACTAGCTAGCTTGATAACTTACCAGATGGAAAGTGGGGACTACGTTTAGTTGTGGTCGAAACATGCCTCTAACAGAAGCATTCGTAAGACAATTTATACAACTCTGTGACAAAGAAATGCGGTCGTAACCCTTGCGAATCTCTTTAATTGAGCAATAGGAGCAAGCTGTTGCCTTGGGCCGGACTTCGGCCATCGGAACTGACTGCATTGATCGCTATCTTTTGGACGAGTTTTGCAATAGGCAAAAAAATAGTGTTGGAACAGCTAACAATTAACATGCATTTTAGGTAAGGCGGCCAGATCGGATCGATAACGCCGTTTGTTGCATTAGGTCGTCATTGATCCTATAGGTCACAATATAAGGGTGCATTCATCGTTACCATTTGCAACCATCACATGCAAAGAATCCGAATTACATACTTTTACAGAGCAGTTCACTGTACACTCGTTCACCTGTAAATTCAATTTCAAACAATACTGTTCATTTAGAGAAAAGAAGTATATTGTACTGCTAAAATTCAATAACATAAACATATTATGAAAAATTTTTCAACAACTATTTTCGTATATGTGTACGTAGAGAATACGCTCACTCCTATATGGTGATATGCCTACATATGATGTAGGCCACGTACCCAACCAGCGAATGAGTCGATCGAGGTCGCTTCGAAACAGGTGATGACTGGGCTATACTGTTTCTGAATCCAACTTTTCGTTGGTTCGGTACCTTCGTAGACACACTCCCCCTGACCACCCAACAATTCAACTTTATCCTGTACGGGGTCCTCCGTAGCTACCCGGCACTTGAATAGCTCAGTGGGGCCACACGTGGCACCTTCTATCACTACGCGTGTCTAAGATCCCGTTGTGTTCAAGGCGGATTAAAGATACTGTTATTATATATTACTCCATCCAAAATCAACTGACCTAAGCTATTAAGGGTTTTTCGCAACGAGACCCGTAATGCAGACAGCTTCATCGGCATTGCGAGCATCTAATCGGGGGCTAGATAGATGCAGCTAGATAGATCTATGCAGTGTATTTTCCTATACCGATGTTAGGCTTCCGAAATTTATGTCTACGTCTATGGCTGTCACAAACATGGTGCTTGTTCACGAGCTCTAGAGGCCAATATACCAAACACAGTAATACACGCAAATGTTATTATGTTCTTCAGAAAACGTTTATCGTTTAGAATTCTTTCTACGTTTTTCATTTGCTGATGGCTGACAAATGTTGTACACTGTCACAAAGGTTCTTTCTCTCCATCTCCAACTCCGTTATCCTTTTATTCAAATTAAAACCATCTCGCCTTTTCTTCAGGCTCCCAATGTGGGAACTCTTTATGGCAGATGACTATTCGAACGTTGCTTTCGTATCCATATTTTCTCTAACGTCAAACACTGACGATGTGCTAATTATACCGTATATAATCGATTGATCGAAATTTCAGAAGATTTGAGCATAGTACGTTCCTTAGTTCGAAGATCATTATTTTATTATTATTATTTTATGTTACTGGGGGCATTTCCTAATATTTATATACCTAAATCAACCTGATCGAACGGATTTTGCTAAAAACGCCGTCAGGTATGAAGGGATCATAAAGTAAAGAAACTTACCAGGTTATACGGAGCTGTTGTCGAGCTGCACAGAGCTGTGCACTCATTCCACTAAAAATGAATAACAACGAACAATAGTTATTATTACAAATGTTATTATCGTATAACAATAGGAAGTGGCAATACGATTCTCAACTTTCTACTACTATAGTGTAGTTGTTTACACACAAAATGACGTGAAACAACTACTTTTGATTACCTATAACGTCTTCTTGCCTATAGCAAGTCAAGTCTTCTTGCCTGTAGCAAGTCAAGTCTTCTTGCCTGTAGCAAGTCTTCAACTGATCTATGTGTGGCCTAATCGAGCTACGCCATCGATGCAGGACGCTGCAAGACTCGATGCAACATCTAGTACAAAACATTTTCTATTCTGGGATAAATTTATAGGTTCGACAGAATATTACCTCAGAATCTGGATGTCCTTACAAGGGATAAAAGTCAGTTCCACTGGGGATGCGTAACAAACATTTTCTAATGGTATATAACATTTATAAAGAACAGGATGTACTATATGAAACCCTTCCAGTTCCATTTTCTTATAGTATCAACCTTTCCTATCAAATATTCTGCTGCCATTTCATTAGCAATGCGCGTGTTGCTCGTATGTACGGACGATTACTTGAACGAACTTTTGTGATCCTATAGATCTGTGGACCTATCGATCCGTGGATAGAGATACAAATTTGGTTAAAAGCTATAATAAAAAATAATTAGTGATTTTCGACGTGTTTCAGACTGGCGTAATTCGTTTGTTTTAAGTTACAGGCTCCATTTGAATTCGAAATTTCGAAACCCCATTTTAGCTAAGAGATTCGGAATCGATCTAAACAAGCAATAACCTGGGAGCTTGGGACCTGGCAGATAAACCCTGTAAGAAGCGCTATTTTCGCAAAAACTCATTAAAAAACAAAGCTCACGAGTCCCGCAAGGACGTCTTTACCGTTTTTTGCTTGCCCAGGATCGGAGTATGGTATTTGGTATATAAAAATCTGATGCCTAAGATTGTGCCTGTCGTCCCCTGGTCATGAAGCTTATGAGCAAACCACTTTTCAGGCATCTGTAAAGATGATGCAAAATGTTCTGTCAGCTACAACTTGCAACTGACCAGCAAGTTCTTGCTGAAGTTGAGGTTGAGCAGAACCTGTTCTTCTACTTTCCTCTAACTTAACAACAAGTTATCGCACTCGTGATTCTCTGCATGTCCAGTTGTGCAGGTAAGAATCCTCCCTTTGGAAATCTACCGAACCACGTCACTGAACTATTGCTGAGAATCAAATGAGCACTATCCAGGCTATGATATTTATTCGTATGTGCTCCGTCTTCTTCCAATAAGACTGATGTTTAACGAAAGCAGAAAACGCCCCGGGTAAAACTTACACGAGATATTATTTTACCTCTGTCAACCCACTAGTATTGAACATTCGGTTGAAGCTTCGGCTGGTAATTTAAGCGACTAATTAGAATCGTCCGATACGGTCGGCTTTAGTAGAGGCAAGAATTTAGGTAGCGGACAAAACGCTCTTCCCTTTTTGGAAAAGCCGGCAGTCTTAACGTTTGTAAATATTGTCTGCTGGTGCTTTGCAGTGGAAACGATGTTTCTATGGCTCACTTGGATCGGCGACAATCCCAAGATGCGAATCAAATCCCTACATTAAGAACGGATACACTCACGCTCGCAAAATTCGTGACCAAATCTAGCAATCTTAAGCAGGTTGTGCTATGAACTATGCCTAGCTACAAATAACTGCGTGCACACAGGTGCAAGCACGACCTAATCTATACTGGCTGCAACAGCAAGTATCTGTATGAAAAATCAAAACTCGTTAAGGAAGTTTGACAGAACTTGCCCATTCGATGAATTCGGATTCCTGGTCGTTCGTATAACATGCAACATGTGGGTCACCCCTTTGAAAGGAAAACGCTGCGCCAATAAATGCCAGGGCAATCAACAATCGACGAATCATTGTTGAGTGCAGATTACTGAAATGACAAGCAAGAACACACATCGCACGCTCTTCCTTTTTTAACAGACTACGGTAAGTCTTTTCTGAAAACTTCGTTAAGTTCTCTGCTGCTGCTGCTGCTATTGAAACTACACATGGATAAAATCTCGTCGTATACGAAGAATATGTTACTAATTCAATCAGAGCTAAAATGACCTGCGAAAAAGACGCTAAAAAGTCGGAATATGGTTGGGGGCAGCTTAGGTCATAAAATTCAGCCAAAGTAATGCATATGTACATATGTAGGCAAGTTGAAACAAACCGTGAAATTCTATGCGTACACTCTACTTGTGACAATATGGCTCCTCTAAACCTATGGGATTTACCCAGGAATATGCATCGTTTTCGAGATAAATTGACTCATTTACTTTGTGAGACGTTGCGGTTCGTTAGGTATTAACTTCACTTCTCTAAGTTGCCAGAGCCAAAACAAAAATGTATTTGCAGTTCTTTTTTTTTATGAGCGATTAGGGCCTTATTTCAGCATGAACTTTTGGACAATTCGACTAAAAAATTCAAGCGCAAAATACAATTTAAGGCGCCATGCAGGTGCAATCCTGCCTTTATTCGACCGTTTACACTCTGACTGGTTCATATTAACGTAACATGGTATCCTATGGAGATGTATTGTGTATAAGTAAAACAATGAGTAATTTGGGCTTGTAACTTTAGCCGAACGATCTTCGTTCCACAATGTTGTGCTAGAGAAAGCTTTTTGGGGGTGCTACGTAGATGTCGAATTTCGTTTGAGAAGCAAAATAGTTTTCGGAATTACTTTCTGCTTGCGTATTTGTCTCAGCCCAAGTTATTTACGCCCTGAAATAAATTAAAAAAAAATATCAATGAATTCTGCCTATTGACCGTGCGGTTACCGTTCAATTGATATATAGTTTTAATCACAATGTACGCTAATAATTCAAGGCGGACTTTACCGTTTGATAGCATCGTTGGCCGATTTGTGTTCACAAACTAGCCGGCGATGCGATCCGAAGAGGCCGTGAGAAATCAAAATAATTTTCTACTAGATACACAAAATATGACATGCATACCTTTATTTTATTAAGTCCTTTGAAACATTTTAGAAAGTTAACGGGCGCACTGACGAATGTTGTCGATCTTACTACCGTTCTTAGATTATTTAAAGAACCTGTGTAGCTGATCTAATGAGCATGGTGGCCTATCTATCCGATATTATTTGAAATATAATTGATATTGAGAACGTTATATATAGGAATATATAAGGAAACAGACTTAAATCTAAGATGATTTGTGATGTACCAGATTTCACAGGGATGATTTGTACTAAGGCGTCTTCAAGAAACGTCTGTATGGCTTAACACTTGAGCGATAACTGTATATAGTACTAACTAGTGTTCAGGCGAAAATAAAAGGTGCACATTCAAAAGTGTGCTGAAAGGGCTAAGGTCAGCCCAATATGTGCTTCTACTATCATAGGAACGAAACATAGTAACTTGCGATAGGTCTGGCTTAGGGGCAACGACTAGACATGAACAGATCTTGGCTTGAGTAGATTCAGGCCGTTCGGCGCGGAAGTAATCATAGATGTATTTTAAAAGACCCAGCGCATCTGCACTGAAGCTGCATGAAGCTGAAACGATTTGTTAGAGGTGTTGTCTGGTAAAACATTGAATCGAAAGGATTCAATTTGTTGCTAGATATTGCCGAAGAACAAGCTTAAACCGAATTAGTTTAGAGTTTGCGCTGTGGTTAATATGTGAAGAAGCGAGCGAGAAGTCTCGTTAGCGAAAACCGTTCGAAAAATCAGCCATTATCTCATGGCTGAACGATCAAAAGGTAGAATCTGGTTAAAAGAGAAGCGTAGCCTTCTAATTCAGAGAACTTTACCAGTGACTGATTAGACGTTTCGTGCCAAATCGCTAGATCGCATAGATTTTCTAACAAGCCGATACTTGTACGCAACGTCTATGGCTAGATCTATCGCAAATCAACTGTAAATAATACAAAACCTATTGAATAAGTTTTACGCAGACGTAAGTGTTAAACTCATGCTTAACACGAACGATTAGCTGTACAAACATTGAATGATTTGACTTAATTTAACGTAATCTATCATCAACGTCATTGTCTTAGAGAAGTTAACGCACGACTTCGTACGAGGATTGCTGATCTCGTGGGAATGACTGCGACGGAGCAGCGGACAGAAATATACCCGATAAAACAAAGGAATAAAAAGACTGAGGTAACGGAACAATCGAAGGCAGCAAGCAAAGGTTGACACTCATTCAATTGGAGTTGACACGATTTACCATTCAGCATTGGCTTGTTCCTTTCACAGTTCTGCGCCATCGCCTCGACCATCTGTAATCAGCTATGCAAAGCTGCTGTCCAATAAGATTTCCTGGAAGCGTAGTGCCGACACGTTTGCGTCGACGGAAGAATAAATGGTGAATGTGACGATACGACTGTTCTGGCTTCTCTGCAGAGATGGCTGCATTAATTCATTAAGTGTTTTTTCGTGTATCTGACAAAGTTAGAAAACGGTAATGATAAAGAGTTTGCTATACTCAATAATAATAATAATAATAATAAGCTAAATTTAGTGAAGATACTGTATTTGAAAAGACACCACGTACCGATTTTGCTCGACGCAATATAAAGCTGACCACGTGAACTTGACCATACTCTGAAGCGCTGCCTTTTAGCGTCTCGTAATAGCTTGATCAGTGCTTCCAGCCTATGACACAGTGTTTGGTGCAATGCACTATTGCATTTTTTAAAAGTGACGATATCTGGTCTTGAGATACGGCTCAAAGGATCGAGCCTTGTGTGTTTAAAGCCGCTAAATTTTAAACCACAAAAAAGAAGTGATACCAAGTTCTTCATTCGTATATAGGTTTGATACCCTACACCAGAAGACTTCAAAAGCTATACATGTCGGTGCGTGTGTGAATGTCTTTATCTTTTTCTACAAATACATGCAAGTATTACTTAGCATATGTGAACTTGCAGATAGCGTTTATTTCCCTATACAGCTGTCTTGTCGCAACTACCATTCTCAATGGGGGGGGTCGAAGTACACGCGACTGCAACGGCGGATAGAAACGAGCATATCGAAGCCATAAGAGGAGAGGGGGCCAAATGATGCTAGTGTTGTTGACCCCACTCCCCCCCCAACGATTCTTTATTCGGTTCCTGCTTGGCCTGAAAATGTGCAGGATGTCACCCTTTTGCTATGCGTGCGCGAAACGCCTTCGTCGAAGCTCGGAGCGGGATCGAAAGTGGTTCCTTGTGCTTGCTGCTGCTTTACATAAAGACAGTGAGGCGAACAATTGTATCACCTGCTGAATGTAAATATATGCGTAAATAGTTGATTGTGAATATATGATTGGCATAGCGTTGCTGGACGAAGCAGGTCAAAGAGTAAGTGGACGTGTCTGGATAAGCCCTGATGCACCGCGTTCCTTCGGCCTTTCGAAGCTACCTCGTTCGCGGTTAACGTCATTAGGATTTCGCTCGATATCGGACCACCAGATGTCACTCGACAATATTGATACTGCAGAATCGGTATTATAACTTATAAAATGTAAAATTCTATAGATGACATACATTTTTTTTGATTAAATGGTAAGAGTAGCTACATATAGATAACTATGAAAATCATTGGCGCTATATTTGTGCAGGACAAAGTATAAAGTTGTGAGCGCTCCTGTACACTAGCTGGGCAATAGTGCTTAAGTCTAGTTAACTTTAATTAGCTACAGGCTTACGTTAGCTCGAGCAGGTGTAAATTTCTACTGCCATATACATATCGAGGTCTATGTGTGTTGGAATAATGCTCTATGTAGACCATACCACAAGGTGGGAACACCAGGCAATACACTTTGTTCACGGGTATTGTATAATAAACAGTTAGCTGGAAAATGTTGAGCAGCGTGACGCAGGAAACGGATGAACTGTCGTCTTCACCCGAACCATGCACGTTAGTAACTTATCAAATAAAAATATCAAAAAAAAAAATTTAAAAAAAGCCAAAGGCTTATTGAAATGGGTATTAAAGAGCATTCTCTTAATCTCTCTTACTCAGCATTCTTATTAAGAAAAATCTTTACTCATATATTTGATATTTGTCATTTCAAAAGCAGAATATTTGTCTTTTCATAACCTTCATAAGATTTCATAACCTCGATGAGGGAATACAATTACATTCAATACGTCGGACGTTAACCTGTCCCGCTTGGTTCATTCTGTTATCGTTGTTTTTTTTTCTGTTTTTCAATAAAACTTTGATTTTTCCACTTGTTATATCATTTAGGTACGTGAAGGTATACGGTACATGGCTTTTTACGGTTTTTTTTTCCAAACAGCTAAATAGTAGAACTTTAAATGTATACATACGTTGCTGCGTTATTCCTGTGTGACATTTTTTTTATTCAAATCTACAATGAGCTCGCCCGGAGTCCATACCCGAATCTACTCATATTCTCGAGTATTCATACAATGAATATATTAATTTTTGCTAAATTAGCCTTACTAACTGTTGACCGGCTTACTCTTGGGCAGGTGCCATGGGTGGCACCTATTCTATACACAGGTGTGCGTTTGTCTGTGTTTGTGTATATAGACGACTGTAGCACAGCGCTCGCTTAATCAGGATCTTCTCTCGGACTCCCCTACACTTTCTGCTCTCCGCCTATGCCGCCTCCGGAACGGCCAACTTGCATTGTACTTACCCCTGTATTTGTTCGAACTTCAAAGACTAATAACGATAATATATTCGACGGCGTTTCAATGGTCTTTCAACTCTTTCAGCTTGTCGAAGCTCGGTCGGCCTTTTGCGTTTCTGAACAACCCGAATGGAGAGACGGGCTAGCGTCGGCCGCCTTCCAGCCCCATCTCATCGTCGAGCACCCGGCCGCCAAAACAGCCGACAGCGTTCGGTAAGTAAATCGACTGATGCCCGAATGTAACTACTAAACAAGCATCGTTTGACTGAGTTAGCTCATTTATTAGTTCTTCAGACCTTGCCAAGCGTCCCCCGCAGCCCTGGCCGTCTTCCTATCCGCCTGCTAAAGTAGGGCAGTGCTATTGCCTGCGCGCAAGCCAAAACGAGCCTTCTCCCGGCTGAGCGGTGCGCTCTCCACCGAGGGTGGACACTTTGCATTGTTAATTAAGCTTTAAATTTGTTTTAATCAGCTGCTGTTACATCCACACGCGTTTTCTTCCACTTGCTTCCGTTTCATCACAATCGCATTTTCCTCACCCGTCCGTTATTCACTATTGCCCCCGCTACTGTGTCTTATTCGATCAGTTTGGCCTGACGCCTTCCCCACGTTTTATTTTTCCTGTTCCTACATCCTAGCCATTTGAAGAAAGACAAAGATACTACTGTGTTGCTTGAGGGCTGCCTGTATAACCTATGCAGAGTGTTTTTTATTATTACTAAATGAGTTTGAGTACAACCATCGAAATGTAGAGTATGATTTTCGAATTAGCGTTGCTCTGATCTTAAACAAGCTGTAATGTGATGAAACACGAAGAGTCACTCAAAGCAACTCAACCGCTATAAGGAGATGTTTTTATGGCACTAGATGTTATTATAGATATTACACAGACTGATTCTATGTAGACATATATATATATATATATATATTAACCAAAGCGTGGATTGGAAATGCCTTATGCGTACCGTGACAGTTAGCGATTAACTAAATTGAGACAATTGGCCCGCTCCTGCCATGTGAGCACCCCACTTGTGCTAGTGCTTGATGTTGCATTCATTGCAGCTTCCGTTACGAGAAGCGGATATCTGCCTGTACACACCCGTCGAATCAGGCACGGATTGTTAAAACCGAGAGAACGATCACAATTAGCTAATGAACAAATTTTAACGGCGCGTACGAAACGCCAAGCGTATTCCGAGCAGTAAGGAAGGAAGAGAAATCTCCCACTACTATTCGCGAACAAAAAAAACAGAATCCTTCGGCGAATTAGCTAATTACAGGGGTACTGGGCGGACGATGAGGGGGTTACACTTTGAAGGAAAGAGAGGGGAAATGGGCGGTGGTGGCGAGTGGTGGAGAAGTAACTGTAACTCGTTGAACATCCAGGTCAGCCCACCAGGTTGGCTTTCCTTTGCTCCGCCACCTTTAAAGCTACTTTTTTTGCTGTGACGAGCCTTATTTGCTCTGAGTCAGTCTATGCAAGCCTGGACGTGCAAGCCTGTTTGTCAACAGTTTTCTTGAAAAATCTGTAATAATGCTACGATTGTATAGGAACTACTTTCAGTAGCATACGTAGCATAATAAACCAAAAAAAAAAAAAAATTGACTACTAATAGCATGATAATTGTTATTGTAAGTTTGAGTAAAATGGTGGAGGTAAACGGTAGGTGGACGTAACATCTGAGATTTGATTCGGCCTTAACTATCTTTTTGTTAAATCAATGTAATACGAAAACGTGTCTTTTACAAATTTCGTTTATTTAAGGCCACAAAATGACGATAAAATGTTACACAAAAAAAAAATAGAAAAAAAAAACCGTCTTCGCTACACTGTCATCCGTCGCCTCACTTCTATATAGCAAATGGAAAATTAGTGCTTCTTTCGAGCCATAGTCAATTTTTAGACTTTTCAAGTATCTAAGATCAACATTCTATCAATTGTTACGGCAGTTTATTCAATGAGTAATTATTTTTAAGCCTTAACTTTGTATTGGCCAGCTCAACTGAAACATACGATTAGTTTTTGCATCGATCGTACGACTGCCATTTCAATCTTACTGTCATCATCACGCCATAAAATTATACCCTGCCAAAGTAAAATCAGGCACGCAGGCCGCCTCGGGCGAAAATATTCATCCGCTTACTTTTTATTTACGTTTAGCTAGAAGTTGGACTTGAGTCGTGACGCCTAAATGGGTAGGACACTAGGTTGTGTTGCTAGAGTATAGGCTGCTAATATGATTGCATAGTTTTTTCCACTTCGTTGTGTTGTGATATGAGTTCAATATGGTATCAATAATCAACTTTTTAACGCCTGGTTTATCCCTTCGACGGTTCTCCCAGGTTAAACACTTTTCGCTGGTTCATAAAGCGGGCATTTGAAAAAAACGTACATCACTACTTTAACCAAAGATCTTGCTGAAGAAATTCTTTTTGGGCTTTTTAGTTGTAGTCACATATTTTGGCGCAGAGCCTCCAAAAGTACCCGAAGGGGAATAACCATCTGAGTGAATATTGCTAGGAAGTGACGGGTATAACCGGGAGCTCGGTTGTGTAGTGTAGAATGTACCTCTGGAAGAACTGCTTCCAAAAGTTCCGTGCGGGATCGGATACGAGCTTCCATACGACGACGGGTATGGGGGATAAGAGGAGGGCTGTGTCGGGTAGAGAGCTGGATTGTACGAAGTGGGATACGGGAGTGAACCTCGTGAAGACGAAGAAGAAGAAGATCCAGAGGATGATGCGGGATATCTTGAAGCGTAGTTTGGCCCTGGGAAGTTGAATGTGGACGATGGTGCTGAAGGTGCATAGCGATTACTATTCCGCAGACGACGCAGCAGGTCCTCGACCGTCGTTGATCCTGATTGATTCTAAAATATTACCGGCATGATTATGTGTATCAATAAAGTAAAGGTCAGTTCTTATGGGGAATAAAAACGTAGAGTCGAATATTGGCATTAACTGAGTTGGGTAGTGAGATCGAATTATTCGTCGAACGTTTAAAAAACATGATATACCTTTTATGTTTGAGCAATATATATGTCGCGACACTTATAGTAAGCTTTGCAAAATATTGCTGTGTTAATATAAATTAAGAATAAGAAGTTAATATACTGAAGAACCTAATATATCTGAAAAGTCCTTAGCTGTATGTCCTTAGACATATGTACCTGCCAATAACGACTTAGTTACGGATAACACTGCAATATAATAAGCAGCAGCAGCAGTAGTTCTGCACATAGTTACATTAAATCTTATGGCAATTTTATTTTATACCTACTTACCTTTCGGTTCTTGTATTTATTAATGAGGTCATCAATATCTGATGAGCTGGGCACAGGCTTTAGTGTCGTAAAATACCGCGGAGCGCTTGGCTGAGGAGTGGTATATGCCCTGCGCGGCGGTGCTGTTACAGAGGGATAGGTACTGCAGAAAATACATGAGATTATTTTAAGCCATCTCCCACAGAACCTACTGCTTAGATAACTTATGTCACGTTTTAGCTTGGAATAAATATTGCTATTTATTGTTTTGTGCCATGGAGAAACACGGAAACGAGCAACATTTACTTCGGTTCTTCACCGAGGATTCAATTAAAAACGTCTGTTTCTATATATAATTGCAGGACCATGAAAGGTGCTACTGTACCTAGAAAGGAACTATGTCGTCTTTCAATTCGACGAAGCTCTTACCTTTACTTTGTAGTTAACTGATGGTATTCAAAACAACCGTTGCTAAGCGTATTTAATATATAATTGAATTTTTTCGATTTAAATGTGAAGCTAACCAACTGTCGTAGTGGGGCTGAAGTTTTATTCTCGTCATGCAAACACTTGTTTAGAAAGCGCAGCCTTGAAGTTGGGCAACAGGACAGCTCTGTGGCAAGCTGTACTGCTTTTACAATAGTTGAGTGAGACTGTGGAGTGTCTATTTGAATAGAAAGTGGATATAATGCCTCCAATTAAGATTCGTCGTCCTTTTGCCACTCGTGATCCAAATGCGAACTTCATTCTAACACTTGCAGACTGAATAGTGCCTTTCAATGCAAAAGGTCTTGTAATCTCCAACAAGTTTAAATTCTTGGTTTAAATCAAGAAAAAACGATTTCAAATATTCGTGCAAAATTAAAATTCTTGACAATCATTTTGTGGGCTATTTCACCTTCAAGACAGCATTAGAGCCACTTGTTTGTCCATCGCATCTCAAGACTAGAACAGAAGCTGGTTTGCCTAGGAAAACAATAGTACAGGCATTAATTTGCATTAAATCAAAGCTTAGATGGGCGTAGCTGAACATCGGAACAGCAAAGAAGATACCGGCCTATACGAACTGGGCCAGTGATCGAAGACCATATAATAGAACCGCTTGCACTAGCTAGGCGAGAGTTACTATCGAGGAAAGCTTCTGTTGACGTGTGATCTGTTATAAATAAGGACGTGAATAATGTCATAGCAAAGTTCTGCAGACAGATTGTGGATGCGGGTGGCCCTGTGGCGACTTTTCTGCAAACATGACACCGTAAACGTGTAGGGCTAAAAAAAAGCGTGCGGTTGACAGATTCGCTGTCAAGTTAAAGCCCTTGCGGCCAGAGTCAGTCCTGTACGCGCTATCTGTGTCAGTGCTCTCCACCGCTTGTGTGGCAGGAAGATTTTCGCTCGAAAAGTTATTGAAGAAAACCTTTCGGCCACAACGACAGATAGTTGAGTGCTGTTGTTATAGCTACAAGGCCGCTAAAAAGATCATGTACAACGTTGCCAAAAGGGTAAAACCTTTTTTAGGGCTGAAAACTTTAAAAACCAAGAAGGGCACGAAACACGAAGTTTCGGTACGAACTGTTACAAACCTGTCTAAGGGTCGCGAAATGCGACATCGCCACCCCTCTACCATCTTCTAGAAGTCACAACCTCCGTCGCAAGTGAGCTTCGTACATTCGCTACAGGATTAGGAGCAGCCCCGTCCTTAAGGTCGCCAGAACGCTCGGAGCCACCAGTCTCACTACAATAAACAAAAGTGGTTCTATTCTCTTTCCAATAGAATCCTTAATAATATGTAGTGAGTCAAACTCTGGCCAGATGGGATCGGGCCCTGCAGGTTGCCAACGGGTTGAGGAGAGAATCGCTCGCGGACCAGCGACTGGAGCCAAACTCAGTCGAATCAAACATTTCAAGATGCTAAGGTTCGCCTAGTGGGACTGCGAGGGTATGTTGTCGCATTTTGTCTCTTGGGCACTGTAACGTGTTGACCGAAACCTAGGCTACAATTACACTCGCTTTTTAGGGATTTTAGCACTTACATTGCTTTCTTCAAAAACCGGCGCTTTGCGCCTTAGTGACTGGGTCTTAGTTTTCTATAGTGACGGAGTGAATGATCCTTACGTAGCCCTAGTCGAAAATAACATAACTATCCTAAAAGGGCCCAATACCGGTTTTTAGCCTTCATCTGAGGATACAAGATCGCAAATAACGGTCCTCGCTTCTCACGATAACAAGGATCTTTCTTTTCAAAAAAGAACGTCATTAATTTTTTTCACGCGGATGTGTAGGTTCAAGGATGTGCCTTATACACAGCCGGCAAACTATGACACCAGCGTCGCTTCACCCTCGGGCGTCACCCGGACGCAATAACTAATTGCCATGCCGCATGTACCCTCTTACTTGAAAGTTACTGGTTTCAACTTTCAAACGTCCAGTATCAACTTACGGAAGTTATGTAAGTTAACCTCCTTACACATGATTCTATTCTGAAACATCACTTAACTGCGCTATTATAGTTATTTTCGCTTGCCTGCTTCCGTACTTTCCATAATTTCGGTTCCCTATTACAAGCATTTTACTGTATTTTTAGAGCTAAAAAAAAACATCGCATCCGCATATTTCATTAATTTTAAACGTTTTCTCAGAAATGTCCATGACCTCCTATAAAGCATAAGTTGAAAAAAAAACGCCTCATTCCTGAATCCACAACGTTGTGTGTATCAGTTTTGCACGTGGGCTTTCTGTGTGAAGCGCCTAAGAGATGATTAAACTTGCTCAAAATTAAACAATAAGCAAGATCTTACTATTGAAGCCCGGCCCAGGGCTACCCACGCAGGTAGTGTTGTCACCCTATTTCAGCACCAGACAATCATCGCTGAACATTTCAGTAAGGCTACCAGACTGACTTGTGTCCTTCGCTTCGCTCTCGTCTCACTCCTGATTTAACTAATCAGTGTATGTTCTGTCACTTCCAGTGTCTATTTTCTATTTCCCTATTACATTGCTCGAGTGACCGGCTGCATCCTGCGGTCACAACCTGCAGCTCTATTACAGCTACACTGTACCAATGATCGTGTTCTTCGACTGACATTAATCAGTGCTATCTTTTTTGTCCTACTTATGTTTGCCTCTCTCCGCGATTGTATTGTTAGTACACATTGCACGTATCATAAGTTGTTTAAAGAAATAATTGACCTCGACCTCAAAAGAGCCAGTATGAACCAAACAAATGTTACTCTATTTCTACTTACGTACGTAAAGTTGACTGCAACCCCTACATACGGCGCCAGTTTGACGCTTTACGTTAGTCAAATACACTGTTACAGTTGTTCCCGCTCTCCCGATGAAACGCGCTCGTAATCCCGATACTATGTCGCATTAACGCCCGTGCAACTATTTTTATCTGTTCCCGAATTACCACACTGACATGTCTTTTATTCTATTACACATTTATCGATTCTCAGCAATTTCGGCAAAGTTGAGAATTTATATCCGTAAGCTAGAAAAATGCCAAAAGTCCAAATTTGCCGTCTAGGTCAAATTAGGTGTCGACATTGTGGCACCTGAAAAGTTTTAAAAACAGGAAAAAATCGTGGCTACTGCTTCTTCAAGCAGCGGGATATGTACAGTTTGGTACGGGCCATTGGCAACATTAGGACGGATGTAACAAAGGGCAAAACCCTAAGTGGATTGAATTGCTATAAAAAGTCCAATTGCCAAAATTTCTATTTCGTCTTATGAGAGAAATTATACGCTGGAAAAGCGTTTGGCCAATCAGTTCAACCGCAGATGCAGTTCCCCAGACATGGATCCTAGTTCCGATATAAGGATGTATAGGTAAGGAGGATAACCAACTCAAAGCGATCCATTTCGACGGGGATATCGGGGGTCCGATGGACAGACAGACAGACAGACAGACAGACAGACAGACAGACAGACAGACAGACAGACAGACAGACAGACAGACAGACAGACAGACAGACAGACAGACAGACAGACAGACAGACAGACAGACGGACGGACGGACGGACGGACGGACGGACGGACGGACGGACGGACGGACGGACGGACGGACGGACGGACGGACGGACGGACGGACGGACGGACGGACGGACGGACGGACGGACGGACGGACGGACGGACGGACGGACGGACGGACGGAAAATTAGTAGTAGTAGTATAGGTTCGGCATATAGATAAATAGGCTAGCCTGACTCAGGGGTCATGCTCCGCACCCCTTTTGCCGTTTATTTTACTAATCTTATTTGTTACTGCTACACTTAGCTTAACCTAAAAAACGTGCCTTCAGTATACACCAATAATCACGCCGCTTCAATTGTTCTGTTTCACGTAGCCCGCTATCCTTTGACAGCCATCTTGCCTTAGGATGACTAAATCAGGCGTGATTATCAGATCGGTAGGCTACGATCTTGCGTACAGGATAAATCAAGTTGATGTTTGATACTATGTGATAGTCATGCATTTCCAAGCCCGAAATTTTAATTCTGACTAACATCTAACCACAGTTCCAGTTAAATACATGCACATCATTACATGTTTTTCCGTACATGCATAATTTATTCGAAACTGCTTGAGACGAAAGACTCTTTATAATGTTCTAATAGGGTTCGGCATTTGTTAAAGAAGCGACCTCGAAAAAGCTACTGCGGATGGCAACATCCGTCTCTGTTGACGCCAGCCAGCCAAACGTCTGCCCCATAGAATGCCTAACAGCGATACCGGATGTAAGACTCGAAACTGAGATATATTGAACGAAAAGGTTTATTAACTTGCAACCGTATGTGCGAGCTACCGTGAAGGTTCTTAAGCCTGTAGACGAATAAGGTACTTGCACATGTTTGGTCTTATTGGTTTTGGTCTATCTGGTTAAACAATGTTCTCATGTCGGCATTTTTGTCGAAGGTTGCCATGAAAGCCGTCTATGCATATGTAGTGATCGATTAAGTACAATAAAAGCATCCAACTAATTTTATTTGCTGAAATTAAAAATAAGCGATGATTTTTAAACTTTTTTCAGCTGTAGCTGTTGCTGTAGCTGTATTCGTTTCGTACTGTTTATACAATTTCGAACCATATCTCGAGTAACCATCTTAACTTAGATCCTTATTTTAAATCCAACTTAAATTTAAAGGGAAAATGTTTCCAACGCAGAATAGGCATATATATTTGCTTCGTATATAAGGAAAGGAGCAAACATAAGTTAGAACACATAAAGAGCTCGCTTCTCTTGGCGAAGCTTCCGGGCTAAAATTAATATGTTATTTCACGTTTCATGTGTTTATCGCATTGATAGTATGGAGGATATATGGGTTACAGGTGGTCTATCGAAGCGAGTAGAAATGAAATGAGCAGTTTGTAGGCACGGGGTATTTCACACAGGGAAATATTATGTCCTCGACTTTAATTCCGAGTCAGGTTTATTGATCGTTTATCTATTGCAAAAGTTCATTCCGAAGATTGAATTAATTCGAATTGGCTGCTGATGAAACCACGCGGCCTCGTCTCACCGTCATGGCCGGTGTTGTACTAAAAAGCTGTTGTAGGCAAACCTGAACAGATCTTGAACTAATTGAGCTAGAACAATGATTTTTTTATTGTTGGAAGTACTCTGTCTTTACATACCTGTCACAGCGCTCTGGCAGCTTGTCGACAGCCACATCTGCGTTCCCACTTGTAATTTCCTTATCCGTCGCTTCTCGAAGTAAATCTATTGTGGGGTATGCTTGCCAACCAAGCGCCCTCGAAACCATCGAAAACCCCGTTAGTAGACGGAGTTAGATTAGACGGATTGGAACCAACGTTAGATATTACTTTGCTCAATCCAAAAGCTAGTTGAGGCATAGCAGAAAAGCCTGGCGCTGTCATCAGATAGCCAGACTGTATGCTTTCAATGGCCAACTCGAAATAGCGGGCTATATTCACTGTTTCAATTTCGGCGAGTAACTGAGAGTAACAGGTGTCCCTGATGTCCCTTGCAGATTCTATCATCACCTTACTGCCGAACCTATTCGAAAATGCCACCGAACGTATTTCGCACCAGGATGATGCTCCTGCTCTGATTAGCGGTACACATTGAGTCATGCTTCCTCTATAGCGACCGCATGAAGTTTCCGCATGTATAATACACCACACGCGCTTCTACCGGCCCGAAGTCCACTTATGGGGGAAGCATTTTTTTTAGTTTCCGCATTTTCAGCATCTTGGTTATCGTTCTGTAACATGTTACATGTGAAATGCCATCTTCTGGCCAACAGAACCCTTAGCCTCCAAACCCTATTTTCGTGAGAAGTTCCTATGACTTCACCAATATCCTTGTCCTTCGGATACTGACATCTAATTAGAGCCTCGCTGGTCTCCGACACTGCATTCCTCCGCTCTTGGAACCTTATCACTATTCACGCTTTCATGTTCAACGCCTTCACTAATTTTCGATGAACTCTCGCTCCGCTGCAACCTTCGAGCAACAAAGACCGGACCGCTGAGCGTCTGACTCTGACGACTATGCGTAAAAGCTAAAAAAGATTCTCCTCCTGGGGTAAACTCTGCCAATTTTTAGTTCCTACTCCTTTTTCTTGTAGTTCCTAGGAGACTAGAGTATTTACTGAGCACATTTCATCTGCCAACGATGTACAGCTCCGGAGTCCGCCGGATTGGCTCGTAGTCATCGCTCGTCTACTACATCTCAATTGGCTTCCATTAAACGACAGAATATACGCCTTTGATATCTAATTCAAAGAACTATGAATCCGTCTCATTTTTCGCTTGACAATTTTTGAGTGAGAAGCGTTGACTAATGTTAGACTGATGAAGGTTATATTTGTAGCGACCGCATGTACAGCGAAGTAAACGAGAATGAAGGCAACCTACCTGTAATCCGTAGTTTTCGCAGGTGTCGAGGTCTTCGTGCTTTTTACAGACCCTGAGCTTTCAATTTCGCCCAAAATATGCAGCAGTTCATCGCGACTCAGTTTGTCCAGGTGTTCCGTTGAAGTCGATCTTCGCGCTGTCAGCAGACGAGGACAGGAGAGTAATGAGCACTATGTCAGTCATTAGATCACCATAACTTTGTGCGCAGAATAATTCTAAATATATAAGCCCATATGGAAATGGACCATCTACCAAAATCATGACCTCAAATTGCGTATAACATTTCGATTACTACCCCACGGTTCCTTCGAGTAACAAAAAGGAGAGATCTGTGTAATTCGCAATATCCGCGCTGTCTTCTACCGTTTCTCCTATAGTACATAGCATAATCTCAGTTTGCCTGAACCAGCCTCCAGTACAAGGTCAGTGCATGTGAAATTTCTCTGCAAATGATAGCTTAGTCTTTCTTTTGGCCTTTAGTTCTATTATGTTTCATTATATATGTAGTACCACGCTTAATCTTTTTTTCTCCGTTCAGTACTTTTCGTGTTTCAAGTTCCTTGCCCTCAGACGAATTAGTCGATCCAGAACTTAAATCCCAACTACGTTCTGTCTCAACCGAATCCATCGATGTCTCCATATCGTAGCCTCGGCTATTTATTGGACTTCTCGTGCTGCTACTACTAGTTGAATCACCCTCCGACGCATATAAGCACTGCGATGTGTTGTGAAGCTTCAATGGTTGCTCTTCGCCCTCAACTTTCGAGAGTTGATCAATTTTGATATTGTCGCTATTTCTGCCTAGAAGACCTTTTTCTTTCCGCTGTGTAGTGAGTGGGAAATGCCAGCGAATCAGTATAAATCGTAAATCAAAACACATTTCCGGAACGGGAAAAAAGCTTTTGTCAGCTCGACATTTTCTCCGAGCTGGAATATCTTCGATTTTTGTGCTTCAATTCATCGACTTTCGTTTTTCCAACGGCACAGTGCAGTGGAAATCATTTCAAAAAAAAAATTACTGAAGTAAAAAAATAACTACAAGCTATTCCGTTCAGGTGGTGGGGGTAGATTCGGCTCGAACTGCATTTAGACGCCCCAGTGTTCACCATATTTCGGTGCTAAGCCCATCAGACTCCCCCAACTCCGGTCGCTTGACGTTTATTTAGGGGATTTCTCACACGGGCTTAAACGCTGTGAGACCTGTATCGGATGAGAACGCCTCAAAGCGTGGTGTCATTGTATCTGTACATTGATTCGGATAGACTGATAATACATGTTCGTTTTCTACGGCGAACCAACTGCTTAAATGTGTGGTACTTGTTATGGATTATTAAAATTTACATTATTGAACGTCGCATTCAGTTATGTTGCTATCCTTTCAGGGCGATCCCTTGTTTTATATACATAAGGACAACAGTAATAATAATAATAATAAAATATTGATTTTGGTAAGCTTCGTTCCTGTGCATTGGTTTTTGCAACTCTTGCATAATTATGCGACAAAATTCAAACAATCAAATTTATTTTAATTGAAAAAGCTCAAATAAAACTTACGAGGTCTTGCTCGCAAAGCATCCTGTGCGCTAGTCAGTACAGCCACGCCTAATAGCCATGATATAATAAGAGACCGAGCTCCCATCATAATCTGAAAAAGTTACTAGGTTAACTGTGAAACGAACTTTACCTAGTAAGAAAGATAGAGGACATATTCTGCAGTTAATTATTTGTCTGTTGAGTGAGTCTCAAGAGCAGGGACTACGACTGCGGACGCAGCTTGACCCGCCCCACGATTCAGGCATCAATTTTTGCAATTCGTGACGTTAGCAATCAACGATTGCCAACGTCACGAATAAATTAAATACAACTAGGCGTTCTAACAATCGTCGTGTTAGAGAGATACAGATGACGTAGACTAGAAACATAAAATACAGACTCATCGGAGAACGGTACGCCACAGAATCACATATATACATGCTTACCCATAAACGTGCACGGCTAAATGTGCTATCTTCTGTGACATCTCCAATTCAACGGGGAACATGAAATTATCAGTGTTACGCTGACTACACGCAAACAATACACGGTAAACAACGATTTCAAACGTATGCTTGCGGCTGACAAGGAAGCAAAGGCAAAATTTGAATTTTCCCGCATTTTCACTATCCGAGAATTATGCGACACTGAGCTTTTCTTTCTATAGTCGGATCGCCTATAGCTACCGTCAAATATCACACTTCAGTTAACTTGTACAAGCAGTATAATCGCTAATGGCGTCTAGCTGACGCCTCTTATTAGAACTGTCTCCTAGATTAGCGCCTTAAATATGAGAATTGAAATGGTGTCGTTTGATAGTTGGTAGTTCGGCCCTTAGCCTATGTATCTGCCGTCGTTTCCTGACGTCACTATTTAAGCGCCCATGAGCAAGCTAGTCAACCGATCGCTCACGTAATGAAATGTCCCTGCTAGAAGCTGCGTCTATCGTGGCAAAGACGGGCCAGGCCTTCCGCGCTAACGTAACGCACAATATCGAGCTACGCTTACTGTTATACCAGTCAGTCCTCGATTATGCTGCACAGCATAACATATGTCACTAGCAAAAACGCTGTACATGTTAAAAGTAATAGAGAAATTTTATCATTTATTTATCATTGGAACAGAGATGAGCCGAGGCGGAACGTCCTAGCAGCCAATCTACGATTACACGCTTATTTCCCTTCCGTGTTCCGAAAGATGTGTGAAGAATTTTCAATAGTGACTTTGGCGTCTTATAGTAGAGTGACTTAGTTATATACGGAACATAATAACAAACAACAACAACTCTTTCGTGTCGTGACACGACGACTTTAATGGTATGAAACATTTAATGTAGATATCATTGATTTATTAGCACCTAAAAGCAATATGTTTTCAAACGACGGCAAATTTAATGGCCGCGTTTATGATTGGGAGGTCTAGCCCCTCCATATTTCAACCATAAGGGTTGCCCAGAGTCAAGTTGTGAAGCAAGGTTTATGTCTGTTGCAACGTTACAGTCTTTTCAGAAATTGATTGGCTTACTTTTAGACCGATGTTCGTACACGTTCGATTATCCAAAAGCACAGCACCGAAGCAATTCACACTCGTTTACCAGTCGAAATGTATCAAATATAAATCACACAATAAATCAAAATGATCTGACCGTGAATCCTTCACTAGGTTTGTGCGCCAGGCCTTTGGATGCAATCGGCACGTACTGCGCGGATATTTTTACGCACACTCACTCGTGCCGACTGCTAGATATTTCATGGTTAAGACGACCCCAATCAGATAGTCCAACAGACGGATACTGGGACGCTTTATATATCGTTTCGTCTTACGCGAAGCAATTCCCCCCCGTCTCGAACACGCTATCCTTTCCTGTCCGTTGTTCGCCATCTCAATGAAAAGAAATACGTCGACAACGATGGCTAGATAAACAAGAAGAACCTAACTGAGAAAGGAGGGGAACACTCCACGTACGTACATATAAACAGCGTCGTGTTCTTCTCTTTGTTGAAGATCAAACCGCCAGCCAGACTGACGGCAGACTGCCGTGATATTTGTGTATACCGGCGACGAGCCATAGCAGCGTCGCTGCAATTCGGAGCTGTTAAGGGTTTTTTTGAGCCAATGAATGCTGTCGTTGGGTTGAGCTCAGAAGTCACCCCGCTTCATAAATTGATGTCACATAGACCGTCGCTTGTGTGTATTGGGCCTGCAGTTCGACAACCGCTTGGGATATCGAGATGCCATTTACCTCTACAGTAGCCAGTAGTTCATCTTCTATTTGTTTCGAAGAACCAGAGAACAGTAAGAAAATCTCCTATATATTTTGCCTATTTCGTTTCTGTTATCGCAAAGCTATCATAGAAAATCCTGTTGAAAATCGACCAAAATGGCTCAAGGGGCTACTTTGATACATCTAAGTTTTTGATACAGAAATTTACGACCGTTCGAGAGAATAACATATTAATTGGCATTTGGATCACTGAAATAGGTTTTAACGGCTAGTCTTCTTGACACCTTCCCACGCACTTGTACAATCTGAATCTCTTCGCCGTTTTGAGCCTTTGCATCTTTAGGACTTTTAGTCTGCGATCATTCGAAGGTATAATTTTATCCGTATTGTTTTCTATGTAACGTGTTTTTGAGTGACACTTGACGCTTTAATGTACGGTTACTAGTAACAAGTACTTTGCGGACTGAAGAAATGATTGCTTTAAGTGACCAGTGTGGGGTTTGGGCATCAAATCGAAGCCATAATCGTCGTATATAGTGGCCATATTGAGCGAGCACGAACGCCACTTCTAAACATGCCAAAGAATTCGTTGAAGTATCCCTGTTCAGACCTGCCATTTTATGTATGTACGTGTGTAGCAGTGTTAATGATGACAACGCAGCAAATCGAGCCAATAACAACAATTACACATCCTGATAAGGAAGATGGCACAGAAACTAACCCCGCGTGTGCTTTATATACATCATGTCATTTGCTGATTTTAGGGAGCCACACTGGTGAACGTTTTCTACACATATACGTACACATATCTAAGTAACTTACGGCAGGTAAAACGAACATTTTAACTGCAATTGTCTGTACGCGACTTCTGACTGGATAGGCTTCAACAGAACAGAAGGCAGGCAACAGAAACAATGACGTAAGCCAGAGAGGTTGTGGACTTAAATTTGCCAAGCAGAACTAACGCAAAGCCATGTGTAATTGGCTGAGTTTTAGTGATCCATTCATGAAACTATTCGATGTAATGGTTAGATCGAGTTTAGATCTTGGCTAATTCTTGTTGCACAATATAGAAGAATTCTATGTTAGACCGAGGCCAATCTGAGGAATGCTACTAAACGACAGTTGCATATTTAAAAGCGATTCTTTAATCGTTCCGCGACAAGTTGGACAATTTGTCCGAACTGTGAATTCCAACGAACAGGGAAATTCAGCCTAAGAAACAAGCCTAAGATGATTGTACTCAAAAACCTACTTTTCCGTGCTTCCGTCTCAAGGTGATCTAGCAAGCCCTCGAACGCAACCTATTGTAATGTGATGCGGAGACAATCGCATTCTTTAAGAATGCTTAGTTTATCATAGCAAAGTAAATATAGATATAAAAATCCAGCTTCAAAGGGAACATTCGAATATGGCGAGGCGAACCCGACCAAGGGCCTAGTGGTAACTTCTTTAAAAAACAACAGGCAGAATCTTCTTAATGTAGTGATTCGTTTCTGCTCGATCTCATACTACGGTTTATTTTTCAGCTTAAGAGCTTCGTGTTCCGAACGGCAATATCTTTACTGAAACAAACTATATCATTTTGCGATCGAACCCGTCTCTGTCTTGGCTGGCAACGTTGTGCTAGTCTTGATGGACTATCTCATTGTGTCTGTGTTCCAGTTGTGCCTTATGTTAGTAGATCAGACCCAGCGGAATCAAATTAATGTGGCGCCATCTATGTCTATGACTATAATTATTAATACCTACAGGCTAGCCAGACTGTACGGGATGCTTTCATCGACCCGCTTCTCGGACTGCTGTCAGATGTATGTATTTTCATTGCTCTTACTCGCCATTCGTCTCTGTTTATTATATCATGATGAGGGCAGAACTCCCCCTACCTAGAGGGTCGAATTGTCATGGTTAGATTGCCCTCTTGGGGGTCATTAACAGGCTCTCCACCGTTCAGTTGGATAAGTGAGTCGACGCTAAAATTACTCAAAATGGCTGACGCCGACGAACGGGACTAGACAGACAGGAGAAGGTTGGGAAAAAGAAAAAAAAAAAAGGATTTCTGGGAGTTGAATGATACTCTAGAGAGTTTTGCAGCTTTGGATACGCTAGTGCTGTACGATTACGCAAAGCTTGATGCACAGTACTAACGATTCCTACATGCAGAGCTCTACAATATGTAAATTAATGGAGACCTGATTAAACTGGTTTTCTGAACATTTTTTTTTAATCTCAATCAAGCTATTTTGAAATACTGCTAACTAAATATTTGCACAGGCAGAACGATAATCTATCAGTTATTGTATTGGCGTTCTAGGAGTACACCTTCAACCTCTGGAACCGCTGTGCTGGGTTTACGTTTTATGTCCGGAGCTTATATACTGAGCTGGCTGAGTCTCAGCCACATTTCAAAACATTTGTAATTATCAAGGCCGCCTTACTGTACACCTTGAGGAGCCTGAAATACAATACTAATAATCAAATTTATCATTTTAACATGGCTCCATCAAAAACTTATCATATGAAATCAATAATCGCTTGTAGTAAAAAAAAAAACAGCGAAATTCATTAGCAAAACAAGAAGAACAAGAAAAAATGTAAAAACAAATAAATACAAGGTAAAAAATAAAAAATTGCTAATAAGCAACAAAAAACAACATTCGACAGTGTTCCCTAACGTCCATGAATTTTTTGAGTTTTTTTGCCCGTTCGCCTAAAGTTGTTTTCGTTCGTTTTTGTGTAAATTCAACGTGTGCTAAGCGATTTATTTCGACCTTTTATTTGGTTCCATTTCTTCGTATGATAATTTGTTGCTTTGAATAAAGTTTTTGTATTTTTTTAAAATTTCATACCTTTTTGAAGGTTTGAATTTGAACGTAAACAAGATGCTAAATAACAGCGTGGAAGAAGAAGAAGCAAAAAGGGTAACGGTAATAAGGGTAACGGGTAAAGGTAAACGTAATAAAATTGATTAAGTCAGCCATCAAAGCAAACGTTGTTTGCTGAGGAAAAACTAGGGATAAAAATTCAATAGATTTCAATAATGAAATATTAGCATTTGTCAAGCAACATTCATATTTGTATTGAGACACATAAATTATTTATCTAGTAGCGTATTTAGATTGAAAAGCATGTATGTATATGGTGTATCAAGTAAGCGCCTGTATTAAAAATTCTTCTTTACACATAAATATAAATAGTCATTTTATTCAATATAGGCGCAATTCAGTACTGGGTATCGTGAAAAAGAGAAATTATTGAAAATGGGTATTTTGTAACTAAATGAGTTGAATAAAAAAAATTCGGCCTATGTTAAAGGTGATTGAAGTTGATCCGGTGGAAAGTAACGCGGCGGTCAGTAAGACCGAGTTAATTAAAAAAAATATCACAACTCTTTCTTAAATGGGCGCTTTAGTCAATGCTTCCATCACCGCTCACCATACAGCTAACTAGATAACTACTTTTCGACCAGCTCTAATCCGAATCTACAGGGTGCAGCACTTAAGTTAATGTGGACTTCGATAAGACCAACGCATTGGAAATTGCACACCAAAGAAGTGGACGGTGTGGATTTCAAACTTAGTTACTACTATCCGAAAGTGCCTTCTACACGGTCCTTCCGTTTCGGTCAGCACCTAACGAAAAAGCTTCGTCATGAATAAGGCCATCATGTCATTGTCCATGAAGTCGTTAGTAGGTGTACGTCATGAAAGTAAGATACATTTTCTTTTAGGGCAACGATTTAACGGTGTTGTTCGCTGCTGAAATCGCTCAAAATGAAGCAGCATCTCGCCTTCTCTGATGAATTTTTTTTTAACTTCGATGCAAGGGTAAACTAGACAGGTAATGGCTGGCTTACTCATCATTCAAAATAGGTACACATTATGGCTAGAAACAAATTGTCAGCTAAAGTTTACGCGTGGAACTTCTGTACAATTTTTCTAGTCGATCGTGCCGAAGGGGCAGCTATCTGGCCGTTCCAAAAAAGAATAGAATTAAACAGCGTCGCCCATGACGACAGTTCGGAGCGTTAGATAAACGCCTAATGCTATCGCTTAACTCGTGCCGAGGTGTCCGTTAAGCCGAGTGATTGCACCTGAACTAAGAAAGCGATGCAGCGTGGCAGCAGTCTAACACGTAAAAACATGGCGGTCGTTAGATAAAAACATTCCGACAGAAAGCGTTAATTGAATGAAGGTGACTGATAAAGATGTTATTACTACTCATTTTTCATTTCTTGAAGTGTAGCGTGACCAAACGAACTTACATTTGATATATTTGGAATACTTTGCTATAACTTGCAGGCACTCCTTTTTGGCTGATAAGGCTCGTTGATGCTCCGGGAACGCCATCTACAAATATCCTGAACGATTCAATCCGTTGCAAACTTACCTTTTATCCTATTAATTGTAAGTCACGCAGTTGTATCCACCTCAAATTCGCTACGATATTTCCTCCGCTATATTTCTATGCTTCAAATAGCATTTTAAAATAAATTTCTTTGCCTGGACGTTCATCTTAATCAACTCATTACTCCAGTTCGGCAGACACTGAAAAAAACAATTGAAAAATTATGACCGTTAGACAAACAGCGCAAATGTATATATATATATATAGGGACACCCTATATATATACATACATATATATCTCTCCCACCAAAGTATCTGCTAAGGATGCAAATAAATATGCTTTCTAAAAGAAATAAGTATTCTGTAATTTGGAACAAATTTTTCCAAGTACCGCTGACAGTTAAAAATTTCCCTTTGAGTATTTCAGATAGTAACAGTAACTATTAAAGATAGCACAGACGATGTCGCTTGAAAATTAATTGATAATCTTTAGAAGACACTGACATTGTTGTTCGGTTGAGTTTTGTGTTGCAGTCAAAGACGTATGGGGCTCCTTATATTAATGAGATTTAATATTAATAATTTGTTCAATATCCTCATTAAGGAAGAAAACATAGTTTTCCAGCGTCAACTCGCATAAGACATGACGTCTTGTGAAACGCTAGTGGCAAGGAGCAAGCGATATAAACCATAGCGAAAATCATTAAGGTATCTTCAATAACGTTTCGGCAGATTTTGAAACCACGAAGATTATAGTATGGACAAGAAAAGAGCGAGTTAAAATCCTATAATGAGTGATCTTTATCTGGTAGAAGTTGCCATCTTAAGTGGAAACGAAAAAGTAAGACGTTATATAAAGACGACTTCCTGCTGACCTGTTTAGAGGGGAAGGCTACACAAAAGCTAAACGGTCTACAAAAGATCTCGCCGGCCAATTTTCAGTACAGAGAACAAAAACGCATATATATACATATATATATATATATGCAAATGACGCTTCCTAAGGCCGTTCTTTCGCCGGAAGCAGTCACATAGAGATGGGTAAAGAAATTGATCAGGTCTGCGACGTTTAGGATTGATGAACGCTTACTGGATCAATCCATTAATCAAGAACTAGAACGCACAAAGTCAAAATAGCTACCCATTAGCGTCCGAGGAATGGCTTTAGAACAGAGAAGCTGACAACCAAAGGTCCAACCGAGAATATGGGCTCAAAACACGCAGCGGTAAGCGTATCGTATCGTATCTTTACACTGTGAAACATCATCTTAAGAAGGTCAATGGGAAATTCGACTCGAAAGGCCTCTCCAAATAATCAAACATTCACCTATAAAATTTAATAGAAAATAATAGATTTTCTTTAATATTGAATTAGCTAAACCGCAAGGTAGTAAAAAAATTGTCGGGGACGTTTGTCTGACCCGAACCAGCCATTGCAGACCTGGTGAAAATTGTGAAACTTTATTTAACGACATTGCCGTTTTTGCCCGTAAAATAGGTTTCTCTATTTGCAGGCGGAACAAGCTATTAGCCGATACTTTATTACTATTACAAGTTTGTAATGGATACTGCAGCATGGCATATTGTTATTAACCTTCTCGGGAAAGCTGAGAAAGTTAGGATGTGCTTTCCAAGCATTCCTATTTAACAATAAAAGAATAGAAAATACTGGCTCTATATTTTATAAACAATCGCCTCCATGAACGGCAGTTATTTGCTATACTGTAAGACTTTCTCAGATCAATCACCGGCACCCAGAAAGCCCGCATAAAAAGTCTACCTAGACTCAACGACGAAAAAACACTGGTCGAACAAAGCAACAAAGATGTTGTCCGTATCGTTTCGCATATAGGATACACTCGCATAGTCGACCGTCGATGAAACGAGCAACCAATGAACTTGGTACGAAAATAATACTAAAGTGTTTGATAATGAATAATACTAAAATGTTCAGCACTACCCAATAAAGCCTAGCAAAGTAAAAAGGCTGTGAATACGATCTCTAATGGTTGTTGCGTGTGTGCGTGCAATCAATGGGCAGCACTAGAAAGGTACAACCTAAAAAAAGATAATATTAAGGCTCAGAGCAGGCCTCAGAAGAAAGAACGTAAGTCAATCTCCAATTATTGCGAAGATTGTTGCGGACTTCTTCGTAGATATATGCGAACACTATGCTTTCCATACAGTATAGTTAAATCGAAGGAGCAGACCCCCGAAGCCGTACACTTTTAAATATTCGATTCGTCCCAAATATAGGAGCACGCCTAAATTTCTTGAACCATACACAGCTGCTTTGAGTATTATATGGAAAATTCAAGCGATGAAAAGAAACAGCACTCTCGTATATGTGCTTTAATAGTTTATCAGTATTGCTTGAAACGTGTGTCATTGAGAAAGCTTAGTATATTCATTCTAAAGAAAAACCTTTGTTCTAATTTAGCGTAGGATCCTGGGCTCAGGTTCGTAAATCATCACGAATATCTCCTCTTGTTAGCTAAGACGTTGACTAGGGAACCAGGTTAGCTCTAACCGTTCTATGAGGATGGCAATAGCTCATTTTCAAACGTTCCCTATGCGACGCATAATTCTCGACAAAACTCACACAATATTCAAATGCTTATTGCGACTATAGAAGGCTTTTCACACAACCATTTTTCATACAGACCTTACGATAGTATAGTATTTCTGCATTCAAGAGGCATTACATAATTCGGGGATTAGTAAAGGATGCTTTACTCATACTGTAAACAATTCGGTTTCACCTTCCCAATACGTAAAAACGTACGTGCGCAAGTAACAGAATTAGCGTTAACAGTATTTATCTGTGCATTGCATAATGGTAGTGTTGTTGAGCAAGGCTTGTGGTGCTATTAGACACACTGGAGAGCGAGCTTTGCCGATCCCCGATAATGGCTAGCCTCATTATTAGCTCGACGTAAAATACGCTAGACGATGATACAACGTCGCTATATAATAACAAAAATAGAAGACGATATATATATATACACATATAGGCATCGGATTTGTGCAAGCGCAACCCAATAAGCGAGGCACAAGGGAAGGGCAGAACCGAAAGGGTCTTGGTCAACAAATAACCCGAATATCGGTAGACCACCGTGCGGACATAGTCTTATATAGTCAGAGAACCAATAGGCCCCGCGGACTAATACGGCAAAGGGAATAAAAGCAGTGGTGGCATAGAGTGGCGAAGCCAAATGGAACCTCGGGGCTCCGGCCCCCAGATCAATCCCGAGGCGGAGAGACTATCCCGGCCATACATTCTGCTGATACGCGTTGCTAGTGAATGGGACTGTGGCTTGAAATGACGTGAAATTACAGTTAGCGAGTCAAAGGAAAGGGGACGGAAGGATGACGGCGAAGGGAACGTCTCCATGCTAGAGGCTGGACCTGCGATGAGCAGTAGAAGCGAACCGTGGGGGAGCGAGTCGGCTACAGGACAGGGACAAAGGCTAGATGGGGAGAATCGAAAGAGGAAGGGCATTCCAACGGATCGGGCGAGGCAATCCGAGGAGAAACCCAGAGGAGAAGAGAAACGAATCAATACATCTTGCAAATTTAATTTGTTCCAAAGCGGCATATAATGTGTTCGTCATGGACCTCCACTGCTGGGCGACTGCGGCGAACGTGGCTGCTACATCGGCTTTGGCTGCCTGGGATGGTTCCTGCACACGTTGCTCAGCCGAAAAACACAACTCTCGTTGCTTTCCTTTCAGAGTTTCTTGGCTCTGCGTTATAGTACGAAGTTGATCAGCTAAGAGAGGCTGCGTCGCACTCTCGCTAGACCTGAACTCCGCCCACTTTGTTCTCTCTTTCCAAGCGCCTCGAAGCTCTCTTGTTGGGTTCCTGTTCCTGAAGCTCCGCCCGAAAACCGCCACACTCACGATGACAGCAGAATGCGAAGCCCCGCCCACTGCATCCCCAAACGAACGTCCCGGGAAGCGATCGGAGTGAGATGGAGCGAATCGCAGAAGCAAAGTTGCCGAGGGTTTTCAGCTGCACACACACACACACACACACACACACACAAATACGGTGGCGTATGCGATGCGATGCGATGCGATGCGATGCGATGTAGAGTTCGAAGCGACGCAGGACCACAGGCCGGACTATGGCTTGAACTGGTTGTAGGGGTACGGAAACCTGAAGGGCAGGAGGAAGGACCATAAGGGAGGAAGGTCAGGCACGCTGATGATGCTTTTGATGGTAATGATGATCATGTCTGCTATAGAAGAGATAATTTACACTGGGGTGCAGGTGCGGCGACACAGGAAGGAAGAGGTTGTAGAAAAGAGAGGCGACGAAAGAAAATCGAGGGCAGCTGCACGGACAGTCAACCATTGCCTCATCCTGATCCTACTCTCAACGTCCCGGCCCGCCGAAAATTGGGCACAGAAGGGGTGGAAATGAACGGAAGCGAGAAAAACTCCACTGAAAAGCGTTCGTATAACGGTATCGCGTCACTGAACGCAAAACGGACTTCGACAACAATCAGGACGCTAACCATTGCACTTACATCATCGCCAAAAGGGCCAGCATGGGTCACCAATACGCAACACATGCACATTGCAACGACGAGCCAGACGGAGCAAAACGACGGTAACCTAAAACGACGACAACGATCCGAGGGGCAAATGGGCAAGGAGCTAAGGTTAGAAAAAGCCGGGAGAGAGAGGGAGAGAGAACGGAAAGATTGAAGGTGGATAAGCCAACAGACAAGGTCCCGAAACGATGTCTGTTTATCCATAGGCACAACAGCTGCGGCCGCAGCGGCGATGGCGGCAGCAGCAGCAGCTATAGCAACCATATCAGGATACAGCGGCTTCGGCCAGAGTTTGATTCTGTGGCTACTTCTGCTGCTCTTGCGCCAACTCGCTGCAGAAGGATCACAAGCTGGCCAGGAGAATAAAGTCCTGCTATTGCCCCGTTGTTCTGATTTGCGTTCTTTGCTCTTGCGTTGAGGTATAAATTGGCTGGCAGCGGCTACTTACACGAATAGTGATGCCCAGCGACGCTGGTGCTGTAGCAGAGAACAACACGCAAACACGCACATATATACACAGACACTACGTAGCTTGCTGTAACCGACAGGGGATACATATATAGAGAGGGAAGGACACAGGGATCAAAAGCGACGTACGTACATGACTAGTATTACCGTCATCGCGAATCAGTAATGCACAGAACACCGCTACCACTACAGGCAACTAACACAAGCGGACCCTGAATCTGCCTACAATCCACCACTGCGTCTTTGTATATCTGTGCTTCTGTCCGCTAACACCAATTCGGTAGTAGTAGTTATTATACCAGTGGATCCACGGGATCAACACTCATACAGAGGAACACACGGCCAAATCCAGCCCCATTTAGGAACCTCCCCTTTTGTACCCCGATCCTCCCAAGTCCCCTCGGATACATACACATTACACACGCCCACATGAGTCTTAGACACACATTCTCTCACACTCTCCCTTACTACCCCCGTCGCTCGTGTACACACAGCACACACACACATACATACGCCTACACGGACATACACACACATACGCACACACACCCACGCGCATCGATCAGATACTAACGTTGAGCCGGCTGCTGTGCCGCGAGCTGGCTTGCAGACATCGCTGCCGACCACTTCCTCCCCCAGCCGGCGAAAGCCAGCCCAGTGAGGTTCGGGCGGAGGCCGCCAGCAGCAGCAGCAGCAGCAGCAGCAGCAGCAGTAGCAGCAGCAGCAGCAGCAGCAGCAGCAGCAGCGGACAAAGAGACCGAGAGGAAGAAGACGACGGGTCGTCAACGCCGCGCGAGTCAGCCCGAGCCGCGAACCACGGCCTGGAGCAGGACCATGAGCATTTACACTTAGACTGTTAAGCTAACAACATCTAACATTAACACCAGCGAGATCCGAACAAGAGATCCGAACTCGTGGCGAACAGAGCTTGTGGCTGTGCTATAGACAGGAATAGGAGCTTCGTGCGCGGAAAACGACAACCAGCAAGCATCAAGCGCCCAACACCGAGCAAAGCAAAACGTTGACCCAGTGAACGAATCACTTTTTAGCAGTTACCATCCTTTACTAGCAGCAATTACTATAAACTCGAGAAATATATTTAGAGCTATGTGACTATGTGCTTAGTGAAGGATTTGCGTTGAGTCCTCTACAGTGAAATACTTCGCCAAGGGGTTACAGAGTAGGAAAAAAGGATAACCCTCGAACGACGCAAGTAAACAACATCAGGCGACTTAGCTAGCATAGCTTGCTCGAGTAAATAACAGCGAAGTTGGATTCCTCTAACAGATAGAAAATACTCCACAAGACATTTCCAACACCGGGGGTTCAATAAGACGAAATAAGCACTAAAACTGAAATCTATCTACCTAGGGCACAAAGTAAAAGGGAGTTTGCGTCACAAGTTTTGCAACAGTGAATCAGTATTACGAGAAAGTAATTACCGTTGTTCAAGGCGTAAGGGTGCCTAATTGAGAATAATTATTATTTCCGACGAAGGAACTGCACTCCGCAGAGAAGTTGGCCCTGAACTGTGATATGGATCTTATAATGTTAGCCAATTTGTTGACTCGTGACTGGCATTAATGTTGCGGTTTGCAGCTGGAAGATATCGAGTGATGGGTGTACGGCGTTTATTATTAAATCTGTACAGCTCATGAGTTTTTCGCAGTTAGCACAGTAAACTCTCGGTATTCGGAGTCCACACGAGGTGCTTCGAAACTCTACCTTGTCAGCTTTCTTTATTTCGAAGTACGTCGCGCAGAAGCCGTCTATTCCGAGGCAGCTCACTTAAACAGCTTAATTGTGAATAGAAAAAACTACGGAACATCGTTCGCTTACACATCGGAGATCCTAAATACTGCAGCTGACCACAAGTGCTTAACACAAGCGGTGGGTCAAAAACTCGTAGGTCTGAACAAAACTGTGTCGTTTACCTATTCCGTGCTCAAGTGTACAGTATTACGACATAGCCATGCTCTTCATCGTTTAATCAGATATAATACGACTTCGCTCAAACGTTCGTTGCACGTTTTTTCATCAATTAACAATTTATTGTAGGCCAGTAAAAAAAAAAACCTCATACATTGAAGTGCCTCACAAAACAAGGTTCTACGATCTAGTTTTCACTCAGTACGAATGTATGAAACCTTGCCAACCTCATTTAGCCGACAAACTATAGAGCTAGAGTAAATAAAGCCAATTTTTTGACTTCTCTACGATAAGCAGCCATACTCCAGAAAAAGGGTCCTATTTTATCCAACATTCAGTTACGTCGCTAAAGAAAACGACCGGTTTCACCTGTCAAACCGGCACAGTGATATCAAGCTACAATATACTTAAAATTAAAGACGTCCAATTGATACGCCGATCTTAACCTAGCTCGATATGCCCACTGAAGGTGACAGCGGTTCACAGCCGCCCGTTACAAAGTCGACATTCTCCATTGATTCGTTACTACGTCAACGACCCTGTCTTGATAAACAAGAGCGGCTTATGTTCGACAAACAGGATCGTCTACTGCTACTCGAAAAGCAACAGGACAACTGGCCAAGAGATTCGCCATCTCCGTCACGCTCATCGTCACCATCAACCTCGACCAGCCCGACGGCGGCTAGTGCGCAGATGGCCGCACGTCTCTTAAGCGCTTTCCCCAACTATCCAGGTCTACTTAGTGCCGTGGCGGGTGTCACCGCGGCTGCCGGTGGGCCAGGGGGCTATCCTGGTCCAAACCATCCAGGACATCCAGCCCATCCTAGTCTTGGACACCCTGGGGTATTTGGAGTGATTCACCATCCGACGCATGGCCAAATTCATGACCACTCAGCATTATCAAAAGTCGCGTCCGGTGTTAGTTTCGAATGGCTTGCGAGATCAGCGGGACTGTATCAACGCGCTGATGGTAAGTACTTAAGCGATTTTTTCACCGTTTGCTGTTGGGATGATTTTTTATTCCTATATATCTGATAATCATCCCAACATTTTCAATCAGTACAAAATGAATGAGGTGTACCTACCGACAAAATAAGCCTACCTGCATACCTGTACGGACCAGCAAACAAAAAAACGTGTTCACCCTGATTTGGTATGACAATACAGTAAACTTAGCCTGCTTTTTACTACTACTACTACTATGTTAAATATTGCTTCATTATTACTTCAGTTAGTATTTACTATCAGCTTGGCTAAGAAGGAGGATCCCAGGTCAAAGATGCGACTCGGTTTTATTGATCGAAACGTCCTTCCTCGGACATTAAGCAACGTTGCTGAATCGGTTCTAGGCTCTCGTATTCACTGATGTACCGGTGTTAAGAATCGATGCCCACGTTTCAGACTAATCGATGATATTACTACAGCCGATCAAAAGCTTCACAGCTCATACGGTGAGGGTATTGGGTACGTCGAAGAACGCTAGAAAAAAAATATGTATATACATATATACCCTATTTAAAAAGATACAACAACAAGAAACAAACGTGTGCTCGAGTTTCGATTGGCGACATGTACGGGCTATAGAGAAATTTATAGGGAAATGGTTTAGTCTATTTACCTAAACGAGGACCTTTCAAGCTATTCAAAATCAGAGAGGCAACCGTATCAGATGCGAGTCCTCACTACATTAGTTTAGGTAGCGCATCTGCCTACCGGGTAGTGCAAACTATCATTGCTAACTGAACTGAGGTATATATATTTTCAGCAGACTGTTTCGTTCGAAATTTTTCGGTAAACGAGATAACAAATACTGTTTTAAAGAGGAAGGCCCCATGTGGCTTTCAGATTAAGATGCCTCCCGCAATAATAGTTAACTTCCTAAAGCGCATTTAGAGTTTTCAAATGAAAAATGGTTTGGCATTAATAACGATACGGATCACCGTGAAATATGAAAATAATTCTCCTAATCTATATATGTTCTGAGTGAACTTGGTCACCTAAACTGGCCTGTGCAACTGCCCAAAGGTCATAACCATGTTTCAGGGTGTGGTGGCTAATTTTTTTTGAGCCAAACGAAATGTCAAACGTACACTTGAGTAAGGCACGTTCAACGTGCCACCTTATCAGTGGCACCGGTAATCGTTAGAGGGTAATGAAAATTTCAATCAAGTAAATTTTATTCTCCCCCTAAAATCTTTTACATCGATCCGTTTCGTCAAGCGTGGACAATGAAGCTGGTGTAAGGTGTACAAAGTCTACTTCTGGACTGGCGAACACCATTTTGTGTAGTCGGTGTCATCGGAACTATACCGAGATACATTGTAAGATGATTCTTTGCCAAAAAGACGTAGAAGGTAAACTTGCTTGACGGAAGAAAAAGGACATGCATAGAGTTGGCATAGTAAATGTACGATTTTCATCTGAATTTGCGCAAGTAAAATGTGTGCAGCTTGGTTTGAGTTACCCCGAAGTGATACCCCCCCCCAAAATATGTTTGCAGAGATGAACGGCTTTTCGGTGTTGATAGAATATAAGAGATGATCTGTACAAACTGTCCTTTTAAGTGAATGCGGGTGGCGTCTTCTTCCCTGAATGTTCAGTCGGCTCGAATCATCGAACTTCTGAATCATGGGGTGACCCCAAAAAACCTCTGTGGCCCCTTTGATGCTGCTGCTGCTCTACGTCAGCTCCTAATAAAATCAGTGTACCCCCGGGAATCAATATTCAGCTATTACATCTAAACAATACCAACAAAAATCTTCGTCACTCGTTGTGGTCGTCACAATGCTGTACTCTAAAACCCGTACTGTTTGTCTTAGTGCGGAAGGGATATAATTGACAGGGGGTGCCGATTCAATGGGCAGTCAGAGTCGCTAGACTGCTTCATTGTTTTTATCACACAAGTCGGGTACTTCAGCTAGCGGAGGAGCTAACGAGTCTCGCACGTTGCGGTTCACTTATTTACTGTCGTGCAACAATCAGCATTTGTTTTACTATTACAGACAATTATTTTATCTGTATAAAGCTATATGGCTAAATATGTAGTTACAATGGAGGTAGGTCAAATAGCGGTTTTAGTTTGAAGCAAAGTTTTTTTTTTCACGCAGCACCAATAAGCAGAACGCAATTTCTATGAGAAACATACAGGTTTTTCGGGATAAAAAGTCTTAACTTAGCAGGAGAGGCCTGACCGACCAACTCTCGTTGGCCATATATTTGATTTGTATCGCTTCCATTTTACACATATAAATTTTTTGATTCATCGGCATAAACGATTCTGATGGCTGACCGTAGTGTTTCTAAACAGTATAGCGGTGTTGTTCTGAGAAGTCGAAAATGAGAACTAAGATATCGTTGCGGCCAGATAAATTAATGCTCCGGTCTACGGAAAAATAGAAACTTAGCTTATAGTTTTAAATACCTATCTAACGGGGCTTTATCTTACGCCCAAGATGAAGCTTAAGCAATCCAAACAACCTAGCACAATCCGACCATTCTCGGATTTCATTTCGGATCGAATTCTAGCTAGAGAGGCAAAAATAAGATTATTGTTAACGAACTTGTACGTGCAGAAGCACATATGCCGATCCGCACGTGTTTCACGAGATGGAAAAGTCTTCTCGTGTGATAGGAAATCAGAGCGTTTGCACTGATCAATCGGTAAAAATTTACTGTTAAATTTTAACTGATGGCCCGCTACGGTTGTATTAAAGCAGCCAGCTGTCTATTTGTAGTTAACGATGGGAACTGCTGACCTTACGTTGTTCGACCACTGAGAATAAGCCACAAATGCTGCTAAGCTGGCTGCCAACAATATCTTTCGATTAATATTCATGCAAAGTGAAATACATGAAACTTCTTTTTTTTTTGTTTTTTTTTTTTTCTATATTTTATGAAAATCTTTGATTATTTTTTCATAAACAATCCAGGTAAGTCTGTGCGACGACGATTGATATTTTCAACCCCAGTGAAGAAGACTTCAACATTCACTAGTGTGCTTGTTGTTGAATGTACTACTACAAGACTAGGGATGTATTATTTGGTCTGTGCTTTGACATGAATAGCAATTTCCACGATTTGCGACATGATTGTCTATTGGGGAGCACTCTAATAATATAACGATATATATACATACATACATACAGCATGCAGTTTGTCCTGAATCTTCGCACTGGCACGCGTAGGCCAAACAATTCGATAGTGCGCTAGACCTAGTACTCAAATCTGTACATCATCCATCTTAATATGTAAGACGGGGCCGAAAACAATTGAATACTAGCCACTCGTCACAGCTTAAAGGGTACCGTATTTACCTGCTAACCTTAGGGACCCGCCATTCTGCATAGGGAATTGTTGCTGTAACAGATCACTTACTGCCACAATATGCGAACAATTTAGAAGTAACAACTGAAGAATTTTTGGTCGCCTGATTGTAACTCGCTCGGATATGATTGGGGAATATGCTTTACCGGTTCGCTATGCTCTCTTGCATTTATAAGCCAATAACAAATTTTCATTTCTCTGAGTAAACTTGTAGCATTCTACGGGTTCGTAGTGTATTATTACATAACATGCAGCTCTTCTTATTGCAGCCACGTGCATGCATTGAAGATGCATGCACGTGGCTGCAATCGCCAATCGATCGCTGCATAGCGATCGATTACTCGCCAGATGGACAAAGAAACCAATGTCTTCCGAAGAATTTTTCGAGGAGGAAACACCCAGTTCTGTTAAATGCGTTTATTCAACAAAAGAGCCTAACGTCAATCTACAATGTAATGACAACAATCGCCCTAAAGGCTGCGTGGTACACTCAATAAAACATTACCTATGCATATGACACCTAGAATTTTTGGCATAGAATTCTGTGTTAGGGTACCCGACAATCATTCGACGCCTGTTTTGCCTACACCGCGGAATATCAGACTCAGCTGTGACTTTGAGATGAATAAATAACATTTTGAGTGTTTATTCAGCTTTAGAACTAAATAAACGCTGTTAATTAATTTAAATAAGGGAAATAGGCATTTTGATTTTTCCAGGGGTTACATGTTATTAGTTCGAATAGTTTTAGGCGGTCGCAAAGGCTATTTGCTCACCCGTTTTTAGCTAGTAAAAAATCACAGCATAACAGAAGTAAAATGCACATCGATTAGGGGCGTGTACTGCATAATCTTATCAAAGAATGCTCCATTAATTAATACACCATTGAAAGATTGCCATTAGAAAGATAATAGTCCTGCAGAAAGGGGGCCAGAACTGATACAAGATTGCGCTGCAGAGCGACTCCAGGCTGGTTATATACTTTTTAACTGATGAAATGACGCTAAGTCTCCTTCTAAACAGCGAATTAGTCTCGCTGTACCGCGGGACCGATACGCCGTTGACAGGACATTATCGACTTCGATAACTTTCAATCGATTTCATCATGACGGACATAAAATAAGCACTGCCGTCGGCTGTGTCTAGTTGTGTAGAAAGAACAGAAGAAGACCAGCTCTGCAAGCGTCTGCTCCTAGCATAGCCTTAGTGAACGTGTACAGAGCTATGTTCGTAGGTGCCAAACTGTGCATCTCTATCGCGACGATCTTAACAATAAACTATGCACATAATGCGCACTCTGTTCTAACATACAAAGGAAGCGTCACGAAAAGTCGTCCACGTATGATTGTTTACCTGCAAAAACAGCCAGCTGTGTTCCTTGTAGCACCTTTTCCTCGTTTATGACACCTAGCCTCACTTCCCTTGAAGGGTACATTTTTTTTGTTTTAGTTTGTCGCCTCACTGTTCGAACAGATCCAATCTAAAAGTGTAATAACGTAGTGTATCTGTTGGGCCTTCTAAGGCCGCAATAATGTGCGTTCAGCTACTGAACAAGGAACCTGTGAGGTGATCTGATCCTGTGAGGCTGGCGTCGATTTGTTTTGGGCTCGAAGCTAGCTGTCTGAGACAATATCAGGACAGTATTGT